CTGTACACTGTGTTGTGTGTTCTCCACCCCAAGGAGAGTCTCTGTCCATCACATTTTGGGCTGCATTGTTATTGGGAAGATTAAAAAACAGGAGGAAGTGTGGGCACCAATTGGCAGAGGGTTTGGCACCAAACTGGGCTGCAGTAGGGTGTGTGTGGCTGCGTGCTGGGAAGGTTAGACCTGGGCTCATGTCACCTCCCCCCTGTCCCACCTGTGGGGACAGCTCTCTGATGGAAGCGTTCCCAGGCTCAGGGTGGTGCTGATCCCTTCTGCCACCACTGCTGCCCTTCTTGAGTCCCACCTGCCACCTCCTTGAACCGGTTTGGCCATCTGTCATCCGTCCCAGGGAGCCTGGGCTCAACAGGACAGCAGAGGCACCGTGCTGCTTCCTATTAGCAGGGGACAGGCAACCAGAAGGGAGTTTGCTGGGCAAATTGGCCTCTTGGGGGTGGAGTGCACCCAGCACCCCTCCACCATCTCTGGATAAGTAAGTCTACAGCATAGGAAACAAAATGCAGTTTCTAAAATGCTCAGGCCGGGGGGCAGGGCGTTTCGTAGGCACATGTATTTATCCACGTATAGATGTGTCAGTGGAAGAACCTAGGTGGTAGGTATGTAGATATTTGTTATAAAATTCTTCTAATTTTCCTGTATGTTTGAAATTTCAAAATAAAATGCAGGAATAAAAGTTTTCAGGGGCCTGTTCTGGTTTAGCTTAAATTTTTATGAAACCGATTATAATTTTGACAGTAACAAGCATTTCTACATAGTTACTGGACCTTCCTGTCTATGCCCAGAGCCCTTGCTCACCATTTTGTCTGGGCTGGGGGTCGCCTGTTACCCATTCGCTCCCCCTGCAGCTGGTGTTTGAGTGCCTCCCTCTCTGCTAGCCTACTGCATAGCCGGGGTTGCTGGGTTACTCGGACTTTCCCTAAGTTTAATGTATTTAAGGGCTGTTTTTGTGTTTTGTGCTCAGAGGTCTGAACATGTCCGAGTTTGTCTGTGACCCTTCAGCAAGGCCTTATGTGTATGACCTCATTGCCGTGTCCAATCATTATGGAGCCATGGGGGTTGGTCACTGTAAGTACTGGCATCTGTTCCCTTCTGAGGCCTTGAAATGCCCTTGGCCAGCTGTCTCCCTCCAGCCGTTCCCTGCTGCCAGCCGTGGCCCCAGGCACTTGACTTGCGCAGCTCCATGGGCCTCGGGCCTTTTCCATGCTGTTGCCCTTTCACTTGTGCAGTTTTTGTTGTTGTTGTTTTCATATTCTTCCATCTAACAATCCCACCTCTGGGAATCTATCCCAAGGAAATGACACTGGGAAAAGCTTTATACACAAAGATATCCGTGTATTTATAACAATGAAAAATTAGTGACAGCGTGGTGATCAGGAGCTGGTACGATTGTCCATCTACTGATGGACGAGTTCACGGCCACTGCTGAATGCAGGTGATGCTGTGGGGAAATGCCAGTGCTACCTTGTGAAAACTGCACAAAATTGCATCATTAGTATCACAGCTGTGTTAAAATCAAAAGCAAAGTAACTGTGACCAGGGTGAGGGAGCCTAGGAGGAGAGATACCAAAATGTTCATTTTACTTTTTTCTCCTTGCTCTACTTTGTTTTCCAAAATCTCTATTGTGTGTGTGTAGGTTCACTTCTATAGTGAAAAGACCTGCAACATTTTCTTAACTGTTTACGGAAAGGGATTAGTGATGTTTATGTGAGGGCTTTCCTCTCTCCTCCTTTTCCGCATCTGCACTGTACCAACTGCCGCCACAGCCCGTGTCAGGACCCCAGGAGATGCTGCCAAGGGAGGTGTCAATCCGTTACACGCATGGTGGGTTGGGAATTGCCCTAACCCCCGTCGTCTTCCCTCCTGCGGAGCTTTGTGTACACCCCCTTGGCTATCACCTGCTCACATGGCTACATCTGGCTGGAAGGAGAGGCTATTTGAAAATTGGGGCTCTACTGGAGTGGCCATTAGGGATCTCTGCTCACATCCTGTCCTGCAGCACTTAATCTTCCACAGCTTTTTCCTCCCCAAATTAACTTAGATATCTGTTTGTGTTCACGGTGCAATGTAGTGATTTTTAACTGCTATTTTAGCATATAAATGCAGCAGTTGGGCAAGTTCCTCATCCATGAGATTAGACTGGTTGTATGACAACCCATGTGGGGCCCACAGTTGGCACTCCACAATGGAGTGCCACAATCCTGCTGTCACACCAAGGACAGACAGTGGGGACAGGCCCTCAGCACCTGCTGTGTCACCTTCTCCTTTGTTCTTCATCGTCACTTCAGCAGGAAGCACTATAGCGAGGAGCGCTCAGTCACAGCAGACTGCGGCCAGAAACCCATCTCTGTTGGATTCTATCATTTCTTTGAGCCTGGGTGCAGCAGGAGTTGGGCATTGCTGTAGGGATTGCTACTGTAAACACATCCTGCTTAGAAACAGTGTAAAGACAAGACAGGAAGTGCTGGCTGTGGGGAATGCCTGGGTCATCGTGAGGGGTGGTTACTCAGCCTCAGGCCCTTGAGTCACAGTTTCAGAGAAAGATAGATTGGTCCTGTCCGCATCCCAGCTCCACCAGCCCAGATGCCTGGTGCACCCCACCCTCGGTCTGCCCCACAGGCTGAGAGCAGTAAGAGGCTGCGGAAGCTGGGACAGTGGGCGAGTTTGACTTGGCAGTTCTTGCGAGAACGGTTGTTTTGCTTAAATCCTAAACTGTTAGCTCCTTTTATGGGTTCCCTGGCTCTGGGTTATTGCTTAAAACTATCCTGAAAATTGACATGGGATTTCTCTGGGTTTTTTTTTTATTTGTTTCCCAAAATTACAGTTTGAGGCGTTGGTCCCTGGCAGCTTCATTTTTACCCTTGTCAGCCTTTTTGAGAAGGAACGGATTTTAAAAAGGGATGAGTTATCTTTTGGTTGTTAAGACACAAGCTGAAATTATTTTTAATTTCAGGGTCTTTGTTTCGTTTCAATTTTTGTTTTCGGAGCTCTGTTGTTGTTTACTGCAAGCCTGTTATGCTGGCCAGATGAGTTCTCTGGTGGCTGCTAGAGCATTTCCTTTTGACTTGGCAGATACTGCGTACGCGAAGAACAAACTGAACGGGAAATGGTATTACTTCGATGATAGCAATGTGTCCCTGGCCTCTGAGGATCAGATAGTGGTGAGTAGGCCCTGGTGCTTTCCCCTCTTCTTTATGTATGGAAGTGGGGAGAGGCTCAGGCCGGTTGGCTAGTCAGTCCTCCCCATGTGATGGGGAGCTAGGTGTGGTAGGAGCCAGCTGGCTGCCATTCCTTCTGGGACCCTTCCTAAATGAGAAGCTTGACTCTCTGCAGGGCCCTGCCACAGGGCGCCTGCCTGTCCCCACTCCCTGGGCAGGGTGAACCGAGTAGCCTCAGGTGGAAGGGCCTTCATGGGTGCCTGTGTGGTTGCCTGTGTGTGCGGATGCATGGGGCCAGGTGGCAGGTCCCTGAGGGCATGATTTGAACAGCGAGAGAGAGAAACTGGGAAGAATGGGTGAGATACTCCAGCCAGTGAATGGACTTTTCCCCTCTTATGTTTCAGACAAAAGCAGCGTACGTGCTGTTTTACCAGCGTCGAGATGATGAGTTTTATAAGCCGCCTTTACTCACCAGTTTCCCTGGGTCCTCTGATGGAGGGATGAGACCAGGCAGCTCCCAGCAGGGCCTGGGGGACGAGGAGGCTTGCAGCATGGACACCAACTGAGGCCGCCTTGGCGACCTGCCACCCCCAGCACCAGTGTGGGCCCCAGGAGAACATCTTTGACCCTCTGAAGACTACTAGTGTTTGGTCAAACGACCAGATTCAGGAAATTCCCTTCTTTTATGAGCAGAAGAAAAAAAAAAAAAAAGACCCTGTTTATTCAGAAGAGTTATGTCAAGAGGCTGAATTATTTCTTTCTAAATAGGTGGTGAGACATTTCTGTAAAACCTGTGGAGCTGCAGAGTTGGGGTGGGCAGGGGTGCACACTGGCCACGGCCGAGGGCTCCGAAGAAGGGAAAGGTGCACACACATCAGTTGAGCTCAGTGCGGCTGGCGGGCCCGCTGCAGGCTGCACAGAGTTCCTGGATTTCTGGTGCTGGTTACTGGTCACCCCAGGAGCCTGCCCACAGTAAGCAGGACCTCAAGTAAACTTGGCGTCGGACCCTTTCTCCCTTGCTGCGATGGGTTATAATTCCCTAAAAATTAGCCACTGACCCCATTTCTAATGTCCAGCTTTCCCTAATGAAGTTATTTGTTATGGGGGTCTCCTGCCCCTTGGCCTGGAGTGGAACCTAACAGTTCTGTGCCCCCGCCCTCAGTCCTGGATGAATTGAGACAGCTGGATGCTGTAAGTTTTATTAGCTGTCACTTAAAATAGTACACAAAACTGCTGGGGACCATGGTCCAACCACTACACTGCTTTCTCCATGTTGGCTTGACAACTGGAACCTTCCTGGGGGTTTGTCAGGCTTGAAAAGAGCTCTGATTCTTGCTGAGAAGTGAAATCCCTGCCCCTCAGCCTGGGTTCTCTGGCCGGGCCCCACCCCCGCCACTTCGGAGGTCCGTCCTACACACTCCCCATCCCCGTCAGCGTGGGGAGGCCAGAACCCAAGTCCCTGCCGTCCCTGCCGCATCTCTCCCAAGTGGTGGTGGCAGGGTGGGCTTACAAGAACCCTGTTGGGGGCCTTTCTGTCTGACCTTTAACCTGAGCCGTGGCGGTTGGGGCTGGTCTCGGGCACGTGCGATCAGTCCCGCAGCGACCGTTGGTCCTGGTGGCAGCGTGGCCGCACGGCTGGGTGAGGACAGGCAGGGCGGACATCCTGCCCGAGGCACTGGGGTGCAGGGTAGGACGGCACTCAGGCCGAGGGTCTGCGGGGCGGGGCCGGGGGCTGGGGGCTGCTGCGGGGTCCCCCGGCCGGCCTGGGCGTGGATCAAGCCCGAGGACATCGTGACAGGTGTCCCATTCAGGGTGGTTTACAACCTCACTGAAACGCTGTCGTTCTCGTGTTGCTCTTCATTTCCATGTGTTACATAATGAAGACGTGGTCGTTTTTAGGGGAAATGTCAGAAAAACTGAGAAGATGCAGAAAGGAGCTGACTGCAGCTATTGACCGGGCCTTTGAGGGAGTCAGTCGCGCCCAGCAGCGCGCTGGGCGGCGGAAGCTGGAGCTGGACGCCGCGCCGCCGCGCTCCGTCCCCGCCGCGGGCCGCGGGCCGCGCTGCTGCCCAGGGCTGCCGCTGGCCGCCACCGGCGCCGCCGCTCCTCTGGCTCCGGCCCCCTGCGCTCCGGAGGCCGAGGGCCCGGCCTCCGCACCCAGCCTCGCCCCGGTGAACGCAAAGCCACAGGCCGTGTGTCCGCAGAGGAAACCCCTGAGCAGCAAGGAGAACGTACTGCTGCACTCCTCCATTTTGGCACCGGAAAGGCAGCTGTGGAGGGCGGCGGGGGACGGGGAGAGCTGGAGGAGAGACGGCCTCAGGTGACAGCCGCGGCGCGACGCGCCGGCGCCTTGGGGGCCGTGGCTGGGGACGGGCGGAAGGCGCCTGGGCGGCTCTTTCTTGCCCTTGGCAGCTCGAAGGCTGCATCTGAGAAGTTAGGGGCCTTTCTTCAGAATTTCAGCATCTGGCCCAGAAACGTGGGCGTGCGCGCGCGCGCGCGCGCATGTGTGTGAGAAACGTGTGCGTGCGTGCGTGTGTGCGTGCGTGTGTGTGTGTGTGTATGTGCGCGCGCGTGGAGCCCTGGCTGGCAAGCCAGTCCTGGAAAGCGCTGTGCAGCTCCTAAATGTAGTGAATGTTGAAGAGCCTGATTTTTCAAGTCACATTACTTTTTTATGCCACAGAAACAAAAATCTATTCGGGTTACCTTTGCCCACATTGGGGGCGGGGCGAATGGCCAACCTCATCCTTGCCTTGCGGGTCTCCCCTGCCGAGAGCTTTGCCGCCACCCCCGGGTGACCGTCTCCCCTGGAACTGTTCTTCTTCCCGTAGCTTGGAAACGCTTGGCCCGAGGCACGAAACTAAGGTTCTGCCCTCTTGGCTGCCATGTGGCAGAGAAGGAAGAAGCCATTTAACTAGTTTTCTACATTTTTTTTTCATTGAACTACAGATAATTATCCTGGTCTTCAGAGACATAATGCGTAGTCTGTGATGCATTGTCCTCTAATCATAACATAAATGACAATTTAAAGTTGCCAGTACATTTTTGTCTTAAAGTTTACCTAGCAGAGATCCCCTTCAATATTTTCTTGAAAGAGGATCTAATTCCCCACCTTCTTCTTTTCACCTGGGGGCTGCAGGAAAGATACAGAGAAAGATTTGAAGGTTGACTCAAATATGCCACTAAGCAACTCTAGCCAGGAGGTCACAAAAGATCTGCTGGATATCATCGGTGAGTACGGGGACAGGTCGGCCTGTCCTCTCCCTGGGAGGAGGGCCTTCAGCAGGCCCCCTGTTAGCAGGTGTCTCATAAACCAGCCGCTCTCCTGTTTCTCATCCGTGTCCTTGGCAGGTCTGGCTCACAGCAGGCTCTGCGTGTGGAGCCCTCGTGGAGCCCGGAACCTGGTGGAGTCGCTTCGGAAATGTCTAGTTACAGTGCATCCCTGGGGGCAGGGGACAGCGACCCCGGAACTTTGTAGTTGAGCTGAGATTTCAAGGAAATGGGACATAGGCAAGGGTAGGGGATAGCATTGCAGCCGTGGAGGGTAACACGAGATTAAAAGATATGTAAGGTGCCCAAAGCTCCACCGTAATTCCACCACCCAGGGACTGGGTGCTCTGAGTCTGGTCAGACATTTTTTCTACACACACATCTGTGAATTCTGTGGGTGAACTGCCTGTGCCCTATTTTCAACGCCTCCCACTACACAGTGGACGCAGCTCTGGTTAGGGGGTGCATAGCCCTGGGGGCTGCCTGAGCTGTTTGGCTCTGCACAGCCTCCAGGTTATGGGGGATGAAGGAGAGGCCCTGTGGTGGCTGGTACTTGCCCTAGACCACAAGGCAAGGCCCCTGCCTGCCCCCTCCTTTAGCGAGTGGACTGAGTCTCCTCTCGTAGCCCCAGGCAGTGAACTGAAGTCGTCACCACCTCTGCTCACCATCCTCCAAGGCCCTTGCCAGCATCAGGCAGCATTTTGATTACTCTGAAATGCCATTTTTTTTCACGCCAAGTCTTGTCCTGACTGTAGACCAGGGAGTTTCCTGAGAGCCAGGACAAGCATGTACAGCTCTGTATCTCCCACTCACACCTTCCTTTGGGGACTGGCGGTTCGCTGGGATCCATAAATGCTGGCGCCAGAAAGGAGGACGCTGGCTCCGGCAGCCTCGGGGCGGGCGGGCCCAGCTTTGCATGGCCCCAGGAGGGAGGCCGCCCATCTGTGGGTTTTTGCTTGTGCCTAATGCTTCTCTGGAAACCTCTCGCTGGAATAGTAATGCTGAATGTTCTTATTTTTAAGACAATACAAGCATCCGAACTATTGAAGAATTGGCTGGAAAACTAGAATTTGAAAACGAGTTGAACCGTGTGTGTGACCCCTGCAAAGATTCGCCCTTCACGGAGGAAGCCTGGGCACTGCTCATGGACGAGAGCCCGCAGAAGGTCTCGGAGGTGGAGCCCAGCAGCCTCCGGCCGGCTTTCGATGATCACAGCATTGTGGAGACAATCCTGGACTTGGAAGAGGACTACAATTTGATGGCCCCTTTTAAATACCACACTGAGTAAGGACAGCTGCCTTCAGAAGCTGACGTTAGGTGGCTGCAGAGGTAGCAAGTCACATTTTTCAAAGGGTTGGTAGAATCTGAATCACCACACCCTTCTTTTTTTAAATAATTATTTATTGATTTTGAGAGAGCAAAACATTGACTTACTATTCCACTCATTTATGCATTCATTGGTTGATTCTTATGTGTGCCCCGACCAGGGATCGAACCCGCAACCTTGGCATGTAGGGATGTCCTGCTAACCAACTGAGTTACCTGACCAGGACTACCACACCCTTCTTAACTTCCAGTTGTGTTCCTTTCTGAGCTGAAAGCCCAGTATTTTGTTTTGTTTTGTTTTGATCCTCTTGCTTTGAAATGTTTCTTACTGGTCATTTTTTTCACTTAATATCTGTTTTTTCGGTTGAGGTTCACTATACCCAGCACTCAAGGCAGGTGTGGGCCATGGGCCTCTGCCGCATCTCGTACTGTGCTTCCCAGTGAAGCCCCTGAAAACATACCGCGGCCACCAACGGGTGGGCTTTGTGAACTAGCCCGCCCCAGGGCGGCTCAGCTGGCACAGAGGACTGGGGCCCTAGAAGGCCCCAGGCTCCAGGCCCCCTGCGACCCTTGTGCGCTTCCTCCCCTTGCACACTTCACATGCGGGGCTGCCTGTTCCCTGCCTAGGCCCCATGCCCTCCTCACCTCCAGGCCAGCCTTCCCTCGGTGCCCCCATCCCTGCCCCTGCCTGGCTCAAAGACCTCTTGGTCGTGTCAAAGGGGCTGGGAGCACCTCTGGTCCCCTCCTGACAGGACATTCTCATGAGACCTCCTCACCACACACCCCACATTTGACACCTGGACCCCCCCCCCCCCGCCCCCGAGCGGGACGAGGAGGGAAAGGTGCACACGGGTCCTGTGCATCTACCATTATTCCTCCCGAACCAGGCCCGGGGACCCAGAAGGTACCCGTGGAGCCCAGGGGCAATGAGTCAGGCAGGGAGTGAAGGAGGGGCCAGGCCCTGCTCTCCTGAAGTCAGCGTAGCCCCAAACGCTTAGCAGGGCTGGCTCCAGACCCCGCCCTGGAAAGAAAGGACATTATCAGAAATTATTTGGACAAATCTCTCAAAACCATGACGTTCCTTCAGGAAACCTAACAGGCTGTTGGGTAAGGTGCGGTGCCTCTCAGAAACAGGCTCAGGCGAGTGCCTCCCGGGCTCACGATGGGCAAAGCAAAGAGCTGAGAAGGAAGGCCCAGTGGCCAGGCACCCCCAACCCCACCAGGACATTTTTTAGGCTTGTAACTTCACAAAGCGCAGGCTGCAGAGCCAGCGACACCCGCCTCATTACAGGCCTGGCGATTCCTCTGGGCTCAAAGGTAGAGACTGCAAACCCACTTGATGCTGGCACCTGCCTGCACCCTGGGAACCAGCCCCGGCCACTGTGGGGGATGGGCTTTCCCTGGGGCACAGCCACCCGCCGCAGAGGGTGGGACAAGGACTCAGTGCCCGCAGGGTGGCCCCCTCGATAAGCAGAGCCTGCAGAGTTGGAGTCCAGCTTCTCCTGAGCAGCAGAGATGAGCAAGTGGGAAGCGCTGCTCACAGTGCCCTCGGCCGCCTGCTCCGAGGAGAGGAGGCTGTCCTGTCTGGATGGAGAAGTCGGGCGGCTGGCAATGCAAAGCACCAGGTCTCACAACAGCCCATTGCAAATAAAGTGTGTTGCTGTGGAAACCCTCCACAGGGAGGGTGGAGCTTAGTCCCCTCCCACACCCTCACCCCATCGCCACCCCTAGACTTAGAGACTTGCTCCCATGGAATAGAGAAAACAGGAGCTTTACATGGGGAAGCCTAAGTGCCAAAGGCGAACACCACTGTGGTGTCCTATGGGTGTCACCCGCCCCTGACAGGGTGTGACGAGGAGGGCGCTCTGCTCTGCCTCTGTGGTATTATTACCAAAAACTCACAACCACAGTCCAATTGTGAGATGAATGTCAGAGCGACCCAGGTTGGAGGATGTTGTGCAGGACACCTGGCCAGCACTCAGCACTGTCAAGGTCGTGAAAAGCAAGGAAAGCCTCAAACTGTCCCAGACCAGAGACAGGAGGCACAATGACTAAGAGCAATGGATTCCATCCTGGAACAGAAGGAGGACATGAATGGAAAAACTGGTGAAATCTAAAAATTAGAGTTTAGTTACTGTGGATGTATGTTAGTTTCCTAGTTTCGACAGATCTGCCACAGTTACATAAGATGACATTAGGGAAGCTGGGTGAAGGGCGTGTACAAATGCACTACTGTTGCAACTTTCCTGCAAATCTAAAGTCATCCCCAAATTTAAAATGTATTTTTTTTAAACGCCATTGATCCCACGTTTGTGAAAATATGTGAGCACACATGCAGGAAATTGTCATGGAGGAAACAAGAGGGATTTAGTTTCCTTTTCCTGTATTTTCTAATTTATCTGCAATGGCCATGTATCACTTCTGTCCAAAGAAAAAATGATAAAGCTGTTCTTTTAAAACCCTCCTCTCTGCCCACCAGCCACGGGCCTCCCTCACCAGGCACGTGCCCAGAGCTGGCCTTCGCCAGGTCCAGCGGCTGGGGCAGAGGCCAGGGCCAGCCCTGGAGGCTCAGCAGGACCTGCAGGGAGCCCCGCCCAGGAGGTCCTGCTGGACTGCGCTCCAGGTCTCGCAACTCAGTTCATGTTCCCCGAAGGGCTCGGCATTGGGGGTGGCTGCTGGGAAGGGCATCTAATTCTAATCCCAGAAGACTGGAAAGAGGGGTTTTTTCCTGCCAAGATGGAGACGGTTGCCCTTGGAAACAAGAGTGGACAGGGACGGGGTGGGGCAGGACAGACAGGTATACCTCTGTTTGCCTGAAAATTCAGGTTAACCATGGGGGCACTTCAACCTGGAATCCCTGTACAAGGAGCTTTTCCTCTCTGCAGAAGCACAGCTGATCCATAAAGCAGGTGAGCCCTGCGCCTCCAGCACGCCGGCCCCTGGTAGGTAAGGGTGGATATTTCCCTGGTGACATCGACTTCCCTCTCTGCATCCCGGGCTCCCTGATGTGCCCTAAGGAGACCTTCCTGCCTTTGTCACTTGCATTGGTGCGGTGGGCAGGCGCGGGCCCCCCTGCACAGAGTGGGGGTGGGTCTCCAGGGATTCAACTGGAGGGGGAACAGGAAACTAGAACATTTATTTATTTTTATATCCTTACCTGAGGACATGCTTCTTGATTTTAGAGAGAGGTAGGGAGGGAGAAAGAGAGGGAGAGAAACGTTGATGTGAGAGAGAAACATCAATCGGTTGCCCCTCACATGTGCCCCTACCAGGACCCAAACCCGCAACCCAGGCATGTACCCTGACCAGGAATCGAACTGACGACCTTACTGTTCACAGGACAACGCCCAACCAACTGAGCCACACTGACCAGGGCTAAAACATTTATTTTACTAAATCCTCCTCAGGTTTGCAGGTAGCTGGGACCAAAGGCTGCTTGGGAGGACATCAATAGTCATAACTGAGGAACTGAAAGGGTTTCACGTCATCCGGCTCTTCCCCCGCAATCCATCTCGGCAAGCCAGACAATCACTGAGTTGTTTCTGTGGAAACACCAAACTGTGACTTGGATTAGCATAGTCAAAATAGAAACGTGGCAGCTTCAAGAATAAATAAGAGCCTTGGAACCTGCTAGTCACAAACTGCAAATTCAAACCACAGCACAAGGCGTGTGAGAAGCTGGGCCCATCTGGCCCGATATGGAGAGGTTTCCAGTCCCCTGGAGCCTCCCGCCCTGTTGATGCCAGAGCCACTAGACACCAGCTGAGTGTGCAGACTGGTAGACTTTGTAACAGCTTAAAGCAGGAGCTGCTCTGTAGAAGCTTCTAGGAGAGGTTGGGGCATGGAGAGGACGGCTGTAGGGACAGCTGAGGAAGAAGGGACAGGAAAAAGGAGAGAGATGAGTGAATGGCCAAATGAAGGTCCAGCGAGGGGCAGAGAGCCACATCTGAGGCCGACGGCAGAGTGAGGGTTCTCTGGAAGGACAATTCAAGGGTGGCTGTGGGCTGGAAACAGGGGCCCTGCCCTCGGCAGGTCCTGATTGCCTGTTTCCTCATGGGTCTAGGCCAGAGTGTGCATTCTTGCCAGGTGGGCTCTGAGGGCACTTTGGTGGAGCCCTGTGTGACAGACTGGGCTTGGAGGCCTGCCTTCCTGTCGCTGGGCCTCAGGGCTCCTCTCCCCCTGCTCCCTGCTCCCTCACTGAGGGAAGAGGGGAACCACCGCCTGGCCCACCGCTCTGGCTCCTTGGCGATCCACTTCCCATCTCAGAGACGTATCCAAGGGGATCGGGAGACCAGGAGAAAGGTGACAGGCAACCTGGGGGCCTGTGCCCCTCACCTTTGCACCCAGGAATGGGCCAACAGGGCAGCAGCCCCATCCCGCCACTGGAGGAGTTCCAAGTTGCTGATGATCAGAGAAGCTGATGAAAAGGCTTGGCAAAGAGGCCAATTCAAGCCAATCTCCCTCCCCCTGAACGGCCAGGCCAGGGGCTCGCCTGGTACCAAAGTGGAACGAGAGACATTTACTATGGCAGCGAAGGCCAGCGGAGGCGGGCAGACGAGGGAGGCCCCCGTGCCTGACTGCAGATCAAGGCTGTCGTCAGCAGGCAACCTGGGGCACCACTCCGCAATTTGCTTTCTCCCTGGAGTCAGTAATGTGCACTCCCTGGAGTGTGTAGGAGCACATTAATATTTTAGGTTCCAGCTAAATATAGAGTGCACAGTGTTTTACTCAGGAAGTCTACTTGACAATAATGGATCTCAGCCCCGGTGGGGAGGACACTCTGTGGTAGGCCAGCTGGAAAATGCCTGATTTGATGAAGAGTTTTGGCCTAAGGCCTGGTGTGAGGAAATTTTCAAAACTGCTCAATCTTTGTAGGAAGCAACTATCTTTTTTAAGGGCAGAAAGGCTGTTGTTTCCTGGGCACTTGGAAGGAAGAGGAGTTGCTGGGGGTGCTAGGGAGACTGACTTCCAGGATTGGGCCGCAAGCTGCTGTCTGAGTGGTGAGCAAGCAATCCCAGCCCTTGGTATCTAGTGTCTACGAGTGTCTACTAGTGACACCCGACTGGATGCTGAGGGTACAGGGGGCAGCCACTGATCTGGCATTTATATTCCACTCCCCATTCCTTTCAGATGGAACAGTATGAGACAAAATGGGAAGGGAATGGGCAGTAAGCAGGATGAGCTTCAGGCGAGGGGAGGTCAGAAAAAGGCCTCCCTGTAGGTGGCCTTTTGATACTTGAATGTTAAGACAATTAGGTACTGTCGTTGGCTTCATTTTCATCCTCAGACTGTAGCTGGCGTGGCTCTGGGCTCAGGCCCCTGGACCTGCCACACCTGGCTGTATTGCCAAACCTCTATCAGAGCCAAAACATCGAATGCTCCAGGGACGTGTCTGGGCTGTGTCAGGTTCGCTGAATCTGCCAGGAGCACAGTGGTTAAAAAAAAAAGAAAATCCATAGGAACAAAATAAGAAACAGACTATTCTTTCTTGATGATTGCCCGGCAGTATAATTTTAATTAACCCAAACTTGTTAAACAATAATTTACTGCTCAGTCTACAAAGACGCCCAGCTCATGAAACACTGAGTCACTCTGATCTTTGATTACGGGCCACAAAGTGAAATACTTCTGGAGGAATACAAGATTTCATAACTCACTGCAGAATCAAAGGACAGAGTGTCCTGCTTCGACATTAAAAGTTGGACAGACCCTTCAATGAGAAGGCCACAGTCATAAATACTAATGGAGTTCTCTCAACAGGGCCTCAACTTTAAATTAAAATAACTGAACTTTCAACTGAGAGTAATAAAAGATTTCCAGATATAGACCTCTCTGGTCTGCAGGCCTCATGCTAACCACTCGACAGCCACCTAGAGTCAGTTCAGGAAGAGCTGGAAGGAACCCACTGTGTAGCCGATCCCCCTCCTCCCAAGCCTTCCTAGCACAAGCAGAGAAAACCAGCAGGGAAGGCAGAGGCGGCTGGCAGAGGGCCGGGTGAACAGATGTCCAGTGAGGCCCACAGGGAGAGGAGAGGCCAGGGAAACCTGGGGAAGAGCCCAAGTCTGCACTCCCTTGGCCTCGGGAGGGCTGCTGCCATTGCCTGGCCAGTTACAGGCCACAGGAGACCCTCGGACTGGAAACGAGAGTATGGGCAGCTTAGGCTGGTGCCTAGTGTCCCTGCAAGAGGTGGAGCAGGCAAATCAAACTCTCTGGCCTTTGTGGGATACACACCCCTGAAAATAAAAAAAATATAATCGTCCACCCAAAGGTCCCAATGTCATTTACTGTATTGGTTTGAAAATGGGCAATTTCTGGAAGCCATCTATCCCATGAGGATTCTTTACTGTCATACAATAAAGGAAAAGAAAAAGAAAAATCAGTTTGAGAAGGGTATTGTTTATTCAAAATCATCTTGAGAGAAGCGTGGGGAATAAAAATCTGGAGTGCATCTTACTGCTTGTTTTACCGATGAGAGATCAGTTCAGTAACTTAATTAAAAAAAAAGCACATGCTTTTAAAATTTTACCTTTATTGTTTTGCTTTTTGCTACAAAGAAATACATACATATTGAAAAAAAATCAAAACCTTCAGCAAGATATAAAGGGAAAGCCAAAGTCTCATGCAAGCCCACTGCTCTCCAGAACTACAACAGGGCACACAGGGCACGCAGGACACACAGCTGCCCTCATTTACGTTAACTGAGTGGTTGAAAACAAGAGAGGGGGTGGGAACAGTCTGGAAGAAAAATGGAATCATGTGGCTTGTGAACAGTAATGTTCTGGGCATTTGTTTGGTGCATGTCACCTGTCACTGGCAGCTTTAACACTATCTGTTCACAAGAAGACTGACTTAGCGTGTCTTGGTGGTATGTCCACAGACCAAAAATGCAAATACTCAGGCAGCAAAACTAGATAAAAAGAAAAAAAAAGTCACGAGGCCTGGAAAGATATTGGTCTTGTGTAGGGAATATTTTGGAGACAAAAATTGTGTTTGGGAGTCTGGCTCCTACAGTGCCAGCTCTGAGGGAACGACCAGCATCCCCTGTGGGGGGCCAGCGTGCCCCTCGTCAGCACAGTGCCCCAGGCCCAGGCTGCCGCCCCAGCTCTCATCACCACCGTCTTCATTTCAGTAAAGAAGGACGCACTTGACCCTTGTGCCCTGTCAAGATATCCAGAATGCCAGACTGCCCCTTCCCTAGCAGGACTTTGGACCCTGAGAGTCCCATGCAGGCTTGGGCGCTTTCTGCTGTTAGCAGCCCAGATGTTCTATAATTTGTCTACCCAGTTGAGACCAATAAACCAGCTGAAGTCACTGTGAGCTGGTCAGAAGCCATCGTCGCTGCTATCAAAACCCAGGTCATAGAGCACACTCTTCCCTGGCTCCTTGCACAGAGGAGATGCGGGACTTTCAAGGTGGAGGTCGCTGAACCAGCTTATTTGGTGGTCCCCCTTGGAGCTGTTAGAAAGCTGGCTGTTGTCTTGGGGAGAGTGCCCACTGAGCTGCCGGGGGGTCCCTTGGGGTTCCCCAGCTGTCCTTCTGGGTGTGAGTGCTCCTTCCAGAACAGGGCAGACTGGCTTTGTGGGGCTCCTGCGGCCACACAGATGCAGGGGCTGAGCAAGGGGTTCCTCCAGGGGCTGCTTCCAGGGGGAACTTTGTGAGCCAGAAACCGGCGGCTGGGGACCTTTGGAATTGAAAGCACAGGTTTTGCCTCGGGGATGCTCTTGCTTCCTGGCTGGGGGCCTGCCTCCGTGGGCTTTCCTGGGCTGCGGCTGCTGCTGCTGGCCTTTCCTCCTGCGTTGTACCGTTCCGCCTTTCTGTTTGGTCACCAACCTCTGCTCACGAGGGTCACGTGAAAATATGTCTTTGGTTTGATGTTTTTGGCGGACATTCTCAATGCTGGTTACAAAGTTGTTTAAGTCCAAGGAGATAAGCTGCGAGCCTCCTAGGGAAACCAGGTTCCTGATGCCAGGATCTCGGTCCTCCGAGATTGTTTTAGTAATAAGCTGATTATTGCAGTTAGTCTGCACGGCCTTGTCCCTGACTCGCCTGTTTCTCTTGCCACTTCCAACAACCAGTGGCGCAGCCTGTTCTTGGAGAGCAGCCCTCTTTGCTCCTTCACTCCAGACACCAGACTCCCCCTGAGGCCGCTGTGAGCCCCTCCTAAGATTCCTGGCAGCAGGGAGCACCTGGGGCTGCTCCACAGCTGGTTCCTCAGAGGGAAATTTGTCCTGCCTGGTGAAACTGAGGCTCTGGACCAGCGGTGGTGAGGTCTGGGAAGTGCTGTCTGTCACATGCCCAGGGCCCCGAGGCACCGAGATCAAACTCTTCAGCTCTGCTAGGACACTGGGCACATTCAGCTGGCCTAGCTGCTCACAGAGCTGCTGGAAGTCCTTACTCTGCTGGACAACTACAACTTCAAGGTGCTTCAGGTTAGACTTCATTTCTATGAACTCTGCTTGTTTCTAGGGAAAGGCAGTAAGAAAGAAGAGAGTTACAAACAGTGCAACACAGAAAGCACAGTAAAATGTGCAAACAAACCGAAGGATGTGGGACGAGAATGGCTACCCTCTGGAGCACAGCCCCAAGGGCACGAGTGGGGCTGGAGAACCTTAGGGAAGGAAGCTGGACTCTGGCATGTTACCAAAGGGCCTGTGTTGTCTTGGCCTCTGTTCTTGACTGAAAATTTGCAGCATTAAAGGTGTCTTTCTGGGCCTTAGTGACAAAGCCAAAAATGCACTTGAGGAAAGGGGTTGGGGTCTATACTTACAGTGTCAAATCTCTTCTGCATCTCAAGGATAGCCTGCTCCATGTTGCCTTTGTCCTGCACCGTTTCCAACACCAGAGCACTCTGGGCCTGCGCAGTCTCTTGCACTAAATACAGAACGATGACAATTCACCTCATGAAGATTATGTCCAGGCCACAGTGGCAGAGAGGGAGAAGCGAACCTGGCATGGCCACCAGAGCCTGCTTGGCTAGCGCCCAGGACTCTATCCACCCAGATGGGCCTTGGTAAGGAGAGGAAGCCAGAGCAGGAGGCTCCCTCCCTCCCTGAGGGCATCCTAGCCAGGGCAAGCTCGAACCTCAGCCCCTGCTGGGGACCCTGAAACCTGTGGCCCAGACGACAGTGCCCCACCTCCTTCTTGGCCTGCTTTCCCGGCCCTGTCATCAGAGAGATCTTCTTAGAAAGCAGATGCGATCATGTCCCTCTGAAATCTTCACTGACACTTTCAATGGCACCCCACTGGCTGTGGGATGAAGTCTCAAACTTTAAATTGGCTCATTTCTCCCTGCCAACCCTGCCCCCAGTCTCCCCGCATCTCTGGGCAAGGCTTCCTAAGCAGTCTCTCCCCACGCTGGCCTTGTGCCCGCTCTTCCCTTAGCCTGGAGCGCTCCTGCTTCTCCTCGTCGCTCTACCCCTCCCTTCACCCACCACCCCAGTCCAGCTGTCCTTCCTTCCAGTTCCTGTTCTTCTCTCTACTCTCACCTGCTTGGAAAAATACTGTCTCCTGTGTGGCTTGGTCGCTCCTTCTCTCTGCTGGGTGCACTGTGTGTGTGCTCTACCATCACTTCTCGCCCTCTACTTATTTATCTTCCATTTACACGTGGGCTCTAATAGGCTTGGTAAACTGAGTGCTTGCCACTCAGGACTGATATTGGGTTTCCTGTTTTACATATGGAAATTTAACCCACACACTTACTTAATAACTCATTGTTGCAATTAATTATTGCCATCCTCTTGATAAATTGCCAGTCATGTGAAGATGCTCATACATTTATTGAGAAAAAAATTTTTTAAAAGGATTTTCAGAATGATGATGAAAAGCAGTCCAAAAACTAGAATCTAAAGAATGATGGGCCTGATCTGGAACCACAAGACTGAGCTCCAAATGACAATAAACAAGTAAACAACATGCACATGAATAAATGAACATTGTAATAAATGCTTTGATAAGGATTATAATAACAATAAGAGGTTGGGGGGGCACCTAGTTTAGATAAATAAGGTTATCAGAGATGAAGACGTTTAGGATGAAACCAGAGGGATAAAAAGGAGCTGGCCCTGCAAAGATTAGGGAGGGTTATTCAAGTGGAGGAAACAGCAAGTGCCAAAGCACTGAGGCAAAAGGAAGAGCCTGTTATGATTGGGAATAGACAAGCCAGTGTGGTCTTGCAAAAAGTCATGTTTTGTGTACTTTACCACAATCAAAACATAAGAAATTTTTAGAAAGTAAATTTTTCTCCTGTTGCTCCATACAAGTTAAATTTCAAGGGTCAACCAGTTAGAAAAAAGGATGTTTACTTATATCTCAAGCACTGGATTCCTGTCCCTAAACTCAATTAATCAAATATTTTTCCAGACATCCATGTAGATATTTGTAGTAAAAAGCAAACATAATTATTCTATCCTAGATGAGTTCCTAAATAGCAATGTTTCTTAGCAACAGTGAACATTACCAACCACAAAAACAGAGAATGAGGAAGCCAAGCAAAGTGTCCAATCCTAGACCCAGTGCCCAAAAACATCTGCCTATGGCCCCGCACAGTCTTTCCTTGTCCCTTGGGAAACACATTTTCTTTACAGGAGCCTTTGTATGAAGCTCATTACTTCCAACATCTATCTTTTTTTAAATTTCTTTTAAGAAGTGTATTTCTGAAAATAACTCAAAACTGTAGCAGTATAATACAATGAAAAATGACCAGCTCTCTCCCATGCAGACCTTAGTTCCACTTCCTGGATTTAACATTATGAGCAGTTTCTAGAATTGCATCGTACATATGCATATCCACATACATAGGTCCTGTGTGTGTGTGTGTGTCCTCTAGAAGGGGACTCATTTCATTTCTGCTTTGGCTATAAATGTCAGATTTGTTAGGGTGTGTGTGTGTGTGTGTGAAAATGCCATTTTTAAATCCATTTCCATATTCTGGACAATGTCTCTGCATCCTTGTGAAGATGATTTGTAAAAATTTGTTTCTGTTGTAGTGATTTGATAAAGGCCCCATTGAGGTGAGGTCGATTCTGATGTTTTCCCGCGGACGGCCAGGGACTTTCCTCTGACTGTTTGGTTTTGCTCTCCCTGCTGTGCTAAGACCCTGAGCAAAGGCCTGGCTGCCCAGTGGATAAAAGGAGATTCCTTAGTCCCTGGTTTTTTTTAGGATACCTTTCCCAATTTTCACTGGCTAGTCACATTCTTCCACAAGATGTGTCCTAGAGCAAACTCTGTGCACAAGGGCCATTTTCATTGAACAATGAATAGATATTTCCACTCCAATGTGGTTCATATAGATGGGCCTCATTCTTCTTAACAATTATATGTGCCTTGCTTAAAAAAAGTCTTTCTCATTCTAAAACTATAAAAATGTTGCCCATGTTTTCTTATAGTTCTTTTTATGATTATATTAATACATCAATTCATATGGAATTAATTTTGATATAATAATTATCTATTTCCCAAAAGAGATATTTTTAAATTTTTGATAGTGCCCTCTCCTTTTTTATTTTCCTAATTACATTTTTCAATAGAACTGGTACCTACTAGGTGAAAGTACTGCTCTCTACTCATTACCTCACCTAAACACAAGATAAAGTAGGATGTGGATGGCCTTGGGAATTCATTTTATCACTCTGGTCCTTGGTGCCCTTAGTGGAAGAAGAAGAGGAGTCAGACCGAATGGCTTTGAATGAGCCTTCTGGTTGAGTAGGCAGACAGTACCTGGTGAAAGCTCTCATGGCCTCATTCTGTGATGGCACCAATCACACAGTAACAGAGACAGCATCTTCACACAGTGGTACGTTCCTCTCTTCTTACGAGCACAGTGAGTGCATCCTGAAAGCCTGCAGAATGCACCGACTGGGAAGTTCAGTGCCCTAGGCTCGCTGGACTAGGCCTGGCTGTATGATAGAAGATTTGTCTGGTTCCTCTCTCGGTGACTAACTTCCTGCTCGAGATCACTACCTCCCAAGAAAGGGAATGATTGAGGACTGGCTACTTGTGCCTATCTTCAAAAATGGCCTGGCTTTCTAATTAGTACGATGCCACTATGTTTGTTACTGCTTGTCCCATTACGCAGCTTCCTCTCCTGAATCCTACTCTTTGACAATTAAGGAGCAATAGGGGCGAAGGAACAGGCTCCCCTTAGGCCTACTATAAGCCAGACTCAGTCCCTGCCCTCTCTCTGCCTTGATCTTGCGCTGGGGCCTTGGGCACCTCCACTTCCTTTTCTGGACCTTAATGGTCACAGGTTTGCCGCCCTCCTCCTTTTTGTGCTTCATGGACTTTTAAACGTAGAAAGCAAAAGGAGTGCTATTCTTGGGCACTTAGAAATGAATTTTCCTATCATGTTATACAAAGGAAGCCTTTCTGATTTGCCTCTGCTCTCTCTCTTGCTTCTTCTTCTAAGGATATCAGCTCTAGGCTTCCAGAACCAGTTTCTAAACAGACGCACAGTTGCCCTGTGTGTGGGATACCCAGGTTGGACGCCAGCAGACAGCACAGTGCTTCTTTGTAGACATATGGGGATTAGTTTCTAAGCCACACAAAAGCATTAATTTTTGTAAATCATGAGCAATCCATCCCATGGCATTTGAATAAGCTGGCTTCAATTTGTTTAAAATAGAAAATAAACACACAGACAAATGCAAACAAGTACAGATGAAGCCACCATCTTGCTGTGTCGCTGTTGGTTCCAGAGAGGTATCTGCCTACAGAGAGCTGCGCAACAGCTCCCTTGTGTTCTGTAAGGACCAGGACCAGAGTATCAGCTAAACGTAGATGATTAACTGGCAGGGCAGAGGGCTTTACCAGCCACAAGCTGTAACTGAAGTTGAGAAAGATGCTGCAATTCACTGTAAAAAGCTCTCATTGAAACCAAGGCAGCAAGCAGAGCAATAGGTGACTGGAGCATTTCTAAGTCCTAAGGGAGCACTTTCGTTATTGCTAAGTCCTAAGGGAGCAATGTCTTTATAGACAGCACAGCCAGAAATCCACTGGGAATGCAAGGCTGCTGATTTACTTCAGGCAGTGAGACGAGAAACCTGGCAGAGCTGCCACTGGCGTCACTGGGCGGAGGATTAGCGCTTCCCAAAAGGCACCTAGAACAGGGCGTTCCCACGCGGAGTGGGTCTCACTACCCAGTGCCTTTTATTCCCCTGGCCCCACTACCCAGTTTGGTGTGTGTCACACCTCTTCAGCACTAACCTTCTGGGTGGGCCCAGCCTCACGTCTGAAATGAGTGCGGAACCTCACTACTGGCAGAAGAAACCTGGCTAGTGTCGGGCAGTTCACATTTACTGCTCGCCGATGCCCTCTGTTGATAACCTCAAATGCAGACACTCACATGTTTTGGCCACAGTCTCCAAAGAATCCAAAATAGATTGGCTTCTTGAACTGAGATGTTCCTCAGACTTTTCCACAGATGTCTGCAACTAAGAAACCCAAAATTAAGAAAAAATTCATAGACTGTTGTCTTATTTTACTAACTTGGAGAATAGTCATTTAATGATTTTTTAAAAAGTTTTTAATATATTGCTATTCTACATGAATGAAAGTCAATACAGTATAATTATTAAACACCCTAAAATGTAAAATGTTCTAAGTTTTTGAAATGTAGCTATACTTACTTTGTGAATACTTTCTCGGACATGGGAAATGAAGTTGTAGAGAGTCTCACTAAAATAGGAGAGAAAAAAGAAAATAAATCTTTGTGAAATATTGAAACAATATGTTAACAGAATTGATTCTGGGAACATGGCAGGCATCCACCTAGTGTAGCATCAAAGCAGCTGGAAAAAAGAGAACATAGACTTTTCTTTCTTTTTAAAATTCAGTCTATATGTATCTTAAATGAGGTTAAACCTTAGCAACTTAAGTGGTTACTACGATAGAACAGATAGACTTTTACAACTATGTGCCACATAACTACATTTTAGTCAACGATGGACAACATAGACAACTCTGGTCCCATAAGATTCTGATGGAGCTGAAAAATTCTTATCACCTGGTGACTCCTAACTCCAGGATGCATATTACTCTAATTGACTGTTACTTTAACTCATAAGAATGAGGCAGGAGAAAGACAATTCTGGGAATAAAATTAATTTCTAATAAAAGAAACTATCACAATTATTCCTCAAATAAATATCCCACTTGTGAAAAGATTCAGACATGGATTGTCATTTAAACATTTTACTGACTTTGTTTCTTTAATCTACATAATAAAAATGCAAATATCAATTTTCAGACTCCAACAGGACAACTCTTTACATGAAGTCTCTTGCATGTTCCACCAGACTGACTTTGGAAGGAGAATATAATAGAACCATTTGGAAATCTACAAACTGCATGTTTTTTAATGAAAGAGATTGGGATATTACCTGAAAATAATCAAAATATTAAAAATTTAAAAAGCTAATTAATTATGGATGTTAACAGAATGTTATTAAAGTATAAAAGCAGAGGATAAGGGTATCTAGAAGTTTAAAATGGCAGAAATTAAACAAGTAGAATAGTTGGAAATATGATAGAAATAGAACTAGGGATGGAAATATGGTAGAAATAGCTAAGGGAATATGATAGAAAAATAGAACAAAAGACAAAGAGATGAAAAATAATTTTTGAAAATTAGGGTCAATGCAGGAGATCCCACACATACCCAAAACTGGCGATACAGAAAGAAAAAAAGAGTGAAAATAGAGAGATTTTCAGAGATACCATATAAACTTCCAGAACTGAAAGACATAACTTTATAGGTCAAAAGGAACTACCCAAAAACCAGGAACTATTACATGCTACTTCAAAGCACATTACTGTAAAATTTCAAAACTCTGTGGATAATGAGAAGAATCAAGGATCAGAATGGCATCAACTTTTTTTTTTTTAAAGATTTCAATTTACTTATTTTTAGAGAGAAGGGAAGGGAGGGAAAGAGGGAGAGAAACATCAATGTGCGAGAGAAACATCGATAGGTTGCTTCTACCAGGGATCTGGTCCCCGACTCAGGCATGTGTCCCAACAGAGAATCAGACCAGCAACTTTTTGGTACACAGGATGATGCCCAACCCATTGAGCCACACCAGTCAGGACAGCATCAGACTTTTAAAAAGCAACATATAAAGCAATAAGACAATGGAGCGATGCTTTAGAAATGTGGAGGGAAAATAATTTCCCATCTAGATTCCTATATCCTGCCTAATTTGCCATCAAGTGTGAGAGAAAAATAAGGAATTTCAGATACACAAGTTCTCAAAAAATTGTTTTAGTGCCATGTGCTTATTGTCAGGAAGTCTCTGGAATATATGCTTCACCAAATCCAAGCAGTAAACCAAGAATGAAGAGGACATAGTATCCAAATATCAGAGAATTCAACTCAGGATGACAGCTACTCTGTGGACTAAGAAAGTACCAAGTTCAGATTGAAATTAGGAAGGATGCTTCTGAAAAGAAAAGAATTGATGTTGAAATAATTTCTGATGTGTTTAAATATATAACAAGAAGCTTTTGCATTTTGGCGGCAGAATTTGGGAAGAGACTTAAGATTCCTATATAGAAAACTAAGCAAAATGGAAAATGAGGCAATTTTGAATATTAGGAAAATGTAATCACAGTATATAGAATTTTTCTGGGCTCTCTATACTGGTAACAGAGTGATAAGGATATAAAGATTAAAAACCGATTTAACTTAAAATGTTCATATAGCTATATTGGGATGATGGAAGATGAGAATTTATGGTGTTTGGGGTAGGGAAGAGGCAAAGAAGTAAATTCTTATTCTAGGGTAGAAAGTCATTCTTTTAAGCCAAAAAAAAAAATATCAAGGAATGACAATTTAAGTCATCTAACATGCTGTAAGATATATGGAAGTAAGTACCAGCATAGCTAAAAGGGTTGCAAGTTAGTTGCAAAAAGAAAAAGGGAATCAGAAGTGACAAAGGACAGACCTGCTGTTTTGCACTATAATCCTAATGGTATTTTCTAAAAGTTTTGTACATGTAATAACTTGATTAAAAAATACATAAGACTGAAAAAGACAATCTTAAAGATGTCTAACAATGGTACATATTACTGCCCAGGAAAGCCTCTACTATATCATATCACCAGTTAGTAGTGATTCTTTATTCTCATAAACACACTCTCTTATTAGCATATTTAGGAACCAATATTCCCAACTTTAAACTATGTTATACAAAATAAATACCTTCTGCATATTATTTTATATTAGAATGTTTTACATATAACTGATAGCTCCCCTGTTAACTATTCATTACTCAGTTCTATCTTGTCTGAATTGAAATGTCAAATTCTGGTTTACCCAAAGCCCTTAAAACGTGCTTAATAAACAGAGTAAAAACATTAAAAGCTTGATAAATAAACATTTCATAAAAAGCTACCATTAATTTGGAAGCCATTTTTATTATTCTTTATCAAAATAAAATAAGATGCTTAAGAAATAGGGATTTCTCATCCACCCACATATTATGTACAAGATCATAGAAAGTTAACTATGACCTAATCTTTGCTCTAGAAAAAGTCAACTATGAATTTCTGTTCATTGGTATTAAAAGAAAAACACAAAAACTATTTTTAATAATAGAAGAGCCCTGACTGGTATAGCTCAGTGGATTGAGTGCTGGCTTGCAAACCAAAGGGTCACTGGTTCAATTCCCAGTCAGGTTGCCTGGGTTGCAACCCAGGTCCCCAGTAGGGGGCGTGTGAGAGGCAACCACACATTGATGTTTCTCTCCCTCTCTTTTTCCTTTGCCCTCTCTCTAAAAATAAGTAAATAAAATCTTAAAAAAAAAAAAAAAAAAAAGGAAGTTCTGTACTACCCTGTACTGGTGAATTATTATATTTTGAGAATCCATTCCCTTATTCAACAACTATTTACTGAGGTCTCTTTTGTGACAAGTCCTTAGCTTTGGTGATATAGAGGGAAAAAAATTCAAGTTCTTAGCCACAGCTTATGAGTACATTCTTGTTGGTATTTTTGAATGCTCTTTCAAAATATACTCACATTAATGGAGTGATCTTCTTTAAAAAAAGTTGTATCAAAATCAAAGCCTATTGAATCTGATATCCTGCTTATTGACATGTCCAATAATAACAATGTGTTTATGCAAATTATAGGGCACGCAGTGCTGACAGCAACACTGCACAAGGGCACAACTCTGCCAATTGCTGGTAGTCAGTCTCTGTTCTGAGTGATCAGTACTCAAGCTATATTTTTTTTTAAATCACTTTATCGAGGTACGATTGACACATGAAAAGCTGTGCATATTTAATGTATACAAGTTTGGAGATAAGTATACAGCCATGAAACCATCACTACAATCTATGCCATAAACATCTCCATCACCTCCAAATGTTTACTCATACTACGTTGTACAGTAGATCTTTAGGACTTATTCATTTTGTAGAAACTGAAACCTTGTACACTTTGACTAATACACATTTTTATTTATCTGAGATAAATACCTAGGAGTAGAATTGAAGAGAAATATAATAAACTATGTTTAATTTTATAAGAAACTCTCAAACTTTTCCAGAGTGGCTATATCATTTTACATTTCCATCAGCAAGAGTTCTAGTTGCTCTATATCCTTAGTCATCACTTGGGGTTACAGTTTTTGTTTGTTTTGTTTAATTTTAGCCATTCTAATAGATGTGCAGTAATATCTCATTGTGATTTTAATTTGTAGTTCCAAATGGCTAATTATGTTGAGCAACTTTTCATATACTTACTTGCCATCCATATGCTTTCTTTAATAAAATGTCTTGTTTCTTACTGTTGAGTTTTAAGAGTTCTTTATATATTTTGGATACAAGTCTTTTCTTGACAATGTTGCTTATAAGAATTTTTTTCCCAGTCTGTAGCTTATCTTTTCATTCTCAATGTCTGTCAGAGCAAACATTTTAAATTTTGTTTAAAAATAAACAAAAATCCCAGGCAAGTCAAAGTTAGAACTTTCATACTTGGGATTCAGGTTTGTTTCCCCAGTCCACTGGCTACTACCATGCTCTCTGTTCAGGGCTTTTAGTTAGGTTCAGTGGGAGAGACGTAGAGTACGCTTACTCCATTTTGTCCCAAACCACAATGCATTCCATTATCATTTTTAAAAATTCTTTTCCTGTTTAAATAAACTTATTTATGTTGCATACAAACAACAACTCTGGTGCAGTTGTATAATTTATCTATCATATGTATGTTCCCCTAACCAGAGAGAGAACTTCAAAGGACAGTTACCCTTGTTCTTTCCCTTGGGATCCCCAGTTTGTAGTATCGGGCCTAACCACAGCGCTTATTAAGTGATTGAATGATCAAATTTCACCATGGTGATCAACAATCATTGAAAGGACATGGGTATTTTTAAAATCTACTTGTGGTCCTTAGCTTATTTATTAGTTAGCAGACTAATCCGTTATTTCAGATACTACAGGTAAAAAACAATAATCTGGGTAATGTCCATCCATCGTTTGGTGTGTCCAGCATCCTCCGCTAACGGGAACTGCTTCCTTCTGTGTCCAAAAAGAGGTTCTGGTAAGGACTTCCAGTCATGCTCCTTTGCTCACCCCCATGACCTAAGCAAGCCAATCCCTTCACTGCGATTTTTCAAATTAGAAGGGAAGAGATTCTCTTCCTCTGTGCTAGTAGGAAGCTGGCCTCTAGTAGGAGAGTAAAGTAGAGATGGAGAGAGCAACACAGAAAAGAGATGGATCCTGATTCCAATTCATTCTCTGCTCTTCCCAGATTAGTTAAGAGAACTCCTTTTTGCCAAAGCTAGTTTGAGGTAGGTTTCTATTAGCTACCAAAAGAGGCATAACAAATGCAACCTAAATAATTAAGACTTCTTTTGAAATTTCTTCACCTCTTTCTGTAAGCTGTAATTTCAAAACACAATATGTAAATCCATTACTTAATGGTTTTTAGCATTTCTTATGTTTGAACTATGTACTATAGTTTATCACTTTCCCGATTTCAAATTTACAATGGTATGCTTTCTCTCTCTTATTTTAAAATTTCTCACTCCTTCTCACCACATTTCTGGCAAAGCATTTATTGACAGAAAGCAAGGAAGCTAACATTTTGGGTTTTACTTTTGCCAGAATTTATTAAAATTATGATTTTTCTGCTTATCATATAAGTCAATATCCTAAGCTCGAATTATTTTTTTTTTTCCTGCAAAAAGCTTAACTGTTTTCATTTGGTCCAATGCATGGGAGAGGTCTCCAGGGTTTAAAAGGATGCCTAGTGGTTTCAGGGATTGGCTCAGGCAGCAGGGAAATGCAGAGGGGCTCCTCAAAGGCCTCTGGGCTCCAAACACTCCTAGTTGTGCTTGAGGGTGAGCCTTTTGAAGAGATACTCGCCCAGCCCAGCCTGGGGCCAGCCAGCCTTCAGAGGTTAGTCAAGTAGTTGCCCATCTTCTTGATGAGTTTCACCTCCTCATCCAGGAAGTGGTTCTCCAGGAAATCACAGAGCTGAGGGTCTGTGTGGGCAGAACCCAAGGCCTGCAGATCCAAAAGGGCCTGGTTCAGGTTCTCCCTGACCATGGCGGCTTCCATGGTGTCCTGAGTTGTACCGCACTCATTGTGGGACGGCTCCTGCACATCCTGGAAGAGAAAGTAGCTACTACACTTGTTTTGCATCTTCCAGAAACACTGGGCTCCCTTGCGCTTCTCCTCGGCCAGCTCAGGGAAGTGGCCCATGCCCTCCAGAGCCACATCGTCGCAGTGGAAATAAAAGCCCAGAGAGAGGTAGGTATAGGAGGCCCTCAAATGCAGGTTGGCCAGACGGTTGACGGCAGCCTCCACCTTGGTGGAATAATGCTGATAAATTTGGGAGGTCATGACTTTTCAGCAATAAGGAGTTAAGGTAAAAAAAAAAAAAAGGAAAGTGTTGGCTGCTCTTAGAGGCTGAGGATGGCTGAGGTAGTTCTGAAGGTGGTGACTGGAAAAGAGGTTAGAGGATGGTTGGAGGCTGGAAGGAGGGTTGCCCTGGGTCTGTTCCATGCAAATACTGTTGAAACAAGAGACAGGTCCAGGGGACCACAGAAGGCTCTGTCTTTAATTCTTTTAAAAGGACAGAAATTCTCCAGAGTTCTCATTATTTGTTCTCTCTATATAAATACTATATATTTTTGCTATTTTGTAAATAATTCTTAACAGAAATTCATTTACTACAAAAACGAAAGAAATGAAACAGAAAAGAAGGAAGAAAAGGGAAGGAAGGTAGGAATGCAGGAAGGAAGGAAATATCAAGTGGAACTCATGTTTTAAGAAAATTTTTTTCGGTTCGGTTCAGTTCAGAAATATTGATCAAACAAAATCTAGTCCAAAGGCCCAGAGAACAACAAAAAAAATGAAGACCGATCTCTCTATCTGCAGCACTAAGAGGGTGAGGGCAGCCTGCCCGCCTACAGTACCCTACCATAGCCTTGGGGGCCTCTGAGAAACCACTAGGGTGCAAGAGCCTTGATTCCCAGGGGGAAGAAGTCTGTCAAAGACTGGGAAGTGCTTGTTTACCAACAGAACCAAATTCTTCAAATAGAGCACTTTGCTTTTCTAACTAAAGGAACATAGTTATACAGTAGCAGATACCTAATCTAGGAATTCTGGGCTCTTTCAATATTAAAGCACTAGTAGTGATGTGAAGCAATACATCTTTACCGTCACAGAAATAACAGTTTACTTCTCCGCTTGGGTGTTTTGATTTCTGTGATACCTAAAGAAGATGCCTTGATAATAACTTACTACCAAGAAATGAACAAGTTAATTTCCTCAGTGACTTCAACTTTTTAAAAGAATATTGCAGCTCTAATTTATCTTGCATTATTTGTTTTGAGAATCAACATATCAAATCAAAGTGTGTATAAAGTTAACTAACAAATCAAAAGGTGTATACAGTTTAAGGAATATCTGAAAATAACAGCAACATTTCAGCTTGAGAAAATCAGCTCCAAATATGATTAGGTCGTGTGCCGTACTCTTGATTCTAAAACAAATAATGTTATCTAATTTCCTAATTCTGATGATCTGAAAATAAAACAAATTAAAGGGCAGAATTTTGGGTAGAATAAATATAATACTATTTGAATATTGCATTTCTCTAAAACGTCTTTTAACTCTCTTTTTAGAGGGGCCCAAACTTTGGCAGCCATATTAAAATCTACCGCAAGTTACATTCACAAGAAAGCAAATAAAAAATAATTACTAGATGAGCTATAAAGACAAGAGTGCTATCATGCTGAAATCAGATTATTTCACTATTGGCATTCCATTTTATTTCCTTCATAAAAGAGGAGCTGTCTTGTCTACTTGAAAGGTTTGCATACCTGTCACATTTGTCTCTTGCTCGTTTCTTTTTCTCCTCAAACTCGTCCAACAGGCCTTTTGATTTTCCAACTGACAAAGGAAGAGGAAATAAGCCTCCATCTTTTGTATCTTCTCCAAATAGCTGGGGTTTTGTCTGGTACTTTCTGAAAATACTAGGTTCACCCTGTTATACATTAAAAAAAAATCATTATAGCATTTTACATATAAAAATACCCATAACATTCACTATTTTCTATACAATGCAGAGTCACATTTAAGTGCAAACCACAATACTAAATAACAACATAGCATGAAGTATTTCCTTTTTATTTCATATATGCAAGAAAATTATATTAAAATAAATCAACTGTTTTTATTACTATAGTTTCTGCCTTACTGGCCTAGAGATATATAAACTGTCAGCTAAAATGGCTTAAAATCAACTGTATAAATTTAAAGGCAACAACAGAGAATTATTTTTTTCCACCAACTATTTTATTTATGAAGCTTATCTGGAAAAAGTCCAGCCATTGTTAACATAATGAGAACAGCTTGCGTGACATTGATGTAACCTGGCAGCCAAGGAGAGTGGACTGGAATGTGCATGCATGAACAATGATGTTTTCCCTGTACTAGTCAGTGGGGGCAGTTGATGCCTGCCGAGTGAGCATGTGTACTGTGTGGCTGTCACATTCAAAATGACTCAGCGAATAGAGCAACGAATCTGCAACAAATTTTGCATTAAGTTTGAACGTTCCTCTGTGGAAACTATTCAGATGGTTCAGAAGGCTGCAGCTATGGGCAACTGGTGATTGGTAGCTTTATCACAACAATGCACCCAATCATGCATCACGTCTCATGCAGAGTTTTTTGGTGACACATCCCATCACCCAGGTGACTCAGCCCCGTTACACCCCAGATTTGGTGCTCTGCGACTTCTGGCTTTTCCCAAAACTAAAATCACCTTTGAAAGGGAAAGGATTTTGGACCATCAGTGAGATTCAAGAAAACAGTAGGGCAGCTGATGGTGATTGGGAGAACTGTGTGAGGTTCCAAGGTGCCTACTTTGAAGATTTTATTTATTTTTAGAGGTGGGGGAATGGAGGGAGCAAGAGAGGCAGAGAGATATGTGTGAGAGAAACATCTATTCAGTTGCTTCTCGCAGCCCTGACCAGGAATCAAACTTGTGGCCTTCCAGTTCGCAGGCTCAATCCACAGAGCTACACCAGCGAGGGTGCAAGGTGCCATGAACAGTGAAACATGTGCAGAAAAATGCTGGCAATCAGACTCACATCCAGAGAATTCTTTTGTAACTGTTTTGGATCTCTCAAATGGACACCAAAGTCCAACGGTGCTGACAGGGTCTCTGAACTTTCTGGACAGAATTGGGATCCAAAGAGGAACTGAGAATCACTGAGACTGGAGTAATCAGTCTGATTATTAGTCCAGTTAGATGACTTAGTGGTCCTAAAATTAAACGAGAAAATTATAGCAAGTGGAAAACATCCTGAACAAATAAAATCATAATTTACAACTATTCACTTCAGAATATTCTGGGCAGAGTGCTAGTTTGTTCTGACCTCCTGCTCCCCTGAACACTGCCAGTACTACCTATAAAGAAACAAGAAAATTTTGAATGCCATACATTTTGATTATAACAACCTGGGGAACAATCAGATGGGAATTCAAACAATAAAGCCATTATTCCTTGTACAATAGCCCTGTAGGCTGTAACACCATTTTGGAGATCAAAGTTCATAAAATATTTTTTTAAAAGTTGAATCTTTTCATCACTAAGGGAATAGATAAAAAAATAAAATATGGTATATGCACATAATTGATGCACTAGTCAGAAGCAATAAACTAGATTTACATATAACCACATGAATAAGTCTCAACAATGTAATTTTGAGCACAGAAAAAAAGTAAAAACTGAATGAGCACTAGTACATATCATTTATGTAAACTTTTAAATCTACATCATACACACCATGAAGGTGGGGCTCTCATGATGGTATTAGTGTCCTTATAAGAAAAGGCACCAGAGAGCTCACCCTCTTTCTCTCTCTACCATGTGAGGACACAGCAAGAAGGTGGTTGTCTGCAAGCCAGGAAGGGAGCTCTCACCAGAAACCAATTATGCTGGCATAAAGTTCTAGGACTTCCAACATCCAGAACTATGAAAAAATAAATTTATGTTGTTTAAGCCATCCAGTTTATGGTACTTTGTTTTGGCAGCTCAAGCAAATTAATATAGGCCTCATCCAGACTGAAGAATATGGTCAGTTCAGATTTGTGCACAGGAGAATCCATTAACAATTGTTTTTGAAGCAAGGTATTGTTCCCTTTCCCACTTAGTGTTTTATCCTTGTTTGCTTTAAATACTTCCAGATATGGACTTCCAACTTGCTCTTCATGGACATCTATGCCAGTCTTTGAACCTCACACATAAAGAAGATAGTGATACTGATAATGATACAGTCATATTGAACGCAGTGTACTAAGCCTACTAGAGACAGCACGTATACGTAGGACAAGTAAAACAGTCTTCAAGTTTTTACTTGAAAGACACCTCAACAATTTGTGTTATTTAATGCTGTTGTGTAACCCAAGAAAACATGCTTTTTGTTAAAGCACATATACACTAATCATTCCTTTTCCAAATGTTAAATTTAAAGTAATTAAGTAGCATATAAATATATATCTAAGCTAAAGGAACCATTACAAGACAGAAAGAAACAATTTATCACAGGGAAGAGTAATTATTTTGACCTGCAAAATCATTTTCTAAGATCAACTAAGTTAACGGGCTGCACACATATAATATAGGTTGCATAATCATTACATTAAAAAAACAGCCCTGTGAACATACAGAAATCATGTAGGATTTACATCTTAAAGTTATGATCTGCATTAAACAAAGATTTACCCTCCTCTGTAGCAACTGTAAGCACATTTTTTTCTTTTTGAGAAATAAAAAGAACAATGCTCTGGATTTCTGCTGAATTAATAACTGTATTTATGAAGTTGTTAGGAAGAAAATAAACTATCCAATGATAAAAGCATACCAAAAGCAATTAGAAATCCCTCAAATATATACTACTTCTGGGACACCAAGCTAGCAATGGCAGGCCTATTGCATGGCTGGTGGACACCGATTTAAGTACCTCGGTGGAGTAGTAGCAGAGGGGACAATATCTCAATGAGCCTTTTCAACAGCTAGAGTGGCTCTTAACTCCACAGTACCTACAAATTATACTATACAACTGAACATATACAAATGAACAGAAAATCATTTTGATTTTTCTCCTTGCTATTTCAATACCAATCACTCCAACTGAAGTGAGAGTTTCTAGATGTTGGATGATGTCTAATTCTGATAAACATCATACTGCCTAGGCCCAGTGCCTGGATACAGAGTCGTTGCTCAATTGAACACACATAGCTCAATTGATATTGCTTTTATAATCATGAAATAGGTAAAAGGAAAAAAGACAACTATGGGAGAATGCAGCAGTGACAGGCTAGGGGAAGAAACTATATGGGGTAATTCTATTGCTATAAACCAATAGGAAGGGGAGCTTCTCTGTGAAATCAATATAACTAATAAATCTTACTAAGTATCTGAGTATATAACTAGAAAACTTACCCAGAGCCTGAGGGAATACTGAGCATATCTTTGATATTCCAGACATTAAAATTCATTTCTTATGGTTACCTCTATTTAAAGAAAGAGGAACATTAATTTAAAAGGTTAATATAAATTTCCCCCCAAGATTGTTTTACTCGTGACTATGTAGATGAGGATATTTCAGTAGTTATATTTTCATCCAATTAGTGAAAATTCCCATTACCTATGAGCCAGAAACAGCTATTTTCTGCTGTTAAATCGTATACAAATTTTTCTCTTTACTATCACCAAGGAGAGCCCAGTGACCTGAGAAATAGTAAATCTGCCTTCCATCCTCTGTTCTCCTTTCATTTTCTCTTGCCACCCTATTAATAATCTACTTTTAGGAAAAGACCAATAAACCCATATTATCCTATGTTTTCAAAGCATAAAAGGCAAGAAAAAAAGAGGAGTGGGAAGCTATAGACTAAAAGATTTATGATGATGTATTATAGAATTGTACCCTTGAAACCTATATAATTGTATTAACCCTTGTCATCCCAATAAATTAAATAAAAAAATGGAAAAAAAGAGGTTTATGAGGCACTTTAACTAAATATAATGTGTTAGGGTCCTGAATATTAAGAAAGCAATCAGGGAAATTTAAACATTGACTTACTACATAATGATATTTTTTAAAAATGCTAAGTGTATTAGTGATATTGTAGTTATAATAAAAATAGAGTCTTATCTTTTATACATACATAAGTTTTAAGTGGATAAAATAATCCGTGCTTTGCTTTAAAACAAGAGAGATGAGCTAGGGGAGCTGAGAAGGGGTACATATTGGCCCTAGGTTGATAATTGTTGAAGCTAGGTGACATGAACATTAGAATTCATTTATCCATGATCTCTGCTTTTATGTTTGAAATTTTCCACAATAAAAACTTAATAGGTAAGTATCTTGTGTTATCTGATAGCTCCCAAAGTTGTTACCTACAGCCTAGACCCCTCTCCTCAACTTCACACTCCTATATTCTATTGCTGACCTGACATTGCTGCTTGAATGACTAATACGCACCTCAAACTTAACATGATCAAAACCAAGATCATCATCTTTCCTCCAAACATTCTCCACCTACAGCCTTCCTGTTCCAGTTAATGTCAACTCCGTAACTCCATTATTTCCAGTTGCTCATGCCAAAACCCAAGAGTCCTTCTTGACTTCCTTTTCTCATATCCAATCTGTCAGTAAATACTATGGCGATTCCTTTAAAACATATCCAGAATCTGACCACTTCTCACCCCTTCCACTGAAGGGTTGCCAGATAAAATATAGATGCTAATTAGGTTGAAATTCCCACATATTGCACAGGACACATGTACAGAAATATGTTTACCTGAAATTCAAATTTAACTGGTTGTTCTATATTTTTATTTGCTAAATATGACAACCCTTCTCTCCCCTCACATACTGTGTCAGCATAATAAACCACCTCCCCCTCCTTCAGATATTCTTTCAATTATTTGTTAAAAATCATCATGCCTCAACAATTACTACATCTCTCCCTTGCTTTTTCTCCACAGTACATCATTATTCTAATACATTATATATTTTATTAATTTATCTTGTTTTGTCTGTCTCAGCAAGCATACCCAGGCCTACTACACTGTAATTTTAAACTCTTTGAGAATAGGATTTTTTGTCTGTTGTGTTCACTGCCATATTCCCAGAATCTAGAAATTGTGCCTGGCACATAATAGGTGCTCAGAAAATATTTACCATTAAATGAGAAAAAAAATACTTGGGAACTCAATTTAGACAATGGAGCAAAAGTTTCCACGTATCCACAGATTTAAAAATACACATGATTTGTTTTCAGTTATTACATTTCAGGTCCCTATATCAGCAAGGACTTAGTACATATTTTAACAATGGTGAATTGAATTTAATGTAGGATTACTGACTCATGTTTACTTATTTGTTTGATAGCCCGAGTGTTTTTTTTTTCCATTCACACTAGCAGAAATTCTTCCTTTTAGAGGCTAGATTTAGGATGTAGACAATTGCATACACATCACCACAAGACCATTATTTAAAGCCATTATTACTTTATCTAGATGACGAACCCTGTTGTCTACCACTTCTGTTCATGGTGATGGGAAAAGAGGGATTTACCTATAGTATGTGCCTTGGGGTTTAGAATACTGCTCCCCCAGTGCCATGCTTACACCCGTGACTGTGCCTAAGGGCCCCATAGTGCTTGATGTGCTCAGCCCCATGTTTATCTGTCCCCGGCATTTTACCTGTCCTCATGCTACCTGTATAGGCTTTTAAATTCTCAGAGGGCAGAAATCCCATCTGTTACAGCTCTCCCTTACTACACTAGCAATGAAGAGGCAGTCATCTTAGGTAGGACACTAGTCATACTAAGGTAAATGAAAACCGAATGCACACATTAAAAGCTTTCCAGGGCAGGGCTCCTTCTCATCCCCCAAATACCATTAAAGGAAGCATAGAACCCTCCAACCTTCCAACCCTCCGCTCCTTTACTGAGTCGCAGCACGTTTCCCCCTCAGATTTTGTGGCACATCTAAGGCTCACCCAACCTCATGCAGCCTCCTCTGTCCTCTCCCGCCTGCGGGAGGACACGCTCTGGGCCCCTAGGCTAAATCATTCTGCTGGCCTTCGCAGACGCCTCCAAGAGGTTTTCTGGAAAGGTAATCAACGACAAAACCCAGTCGGATTCCCTGCCTTCCTGTTTGCCCTGACTTGCCGGCTGGCTCTCGTCCTCACATCTCCGGAGCCAGACTGGGGATTTGGGACTCGCATGGGAGGCATGGCCCTTGGAACCTGACGGAAACAGCTCTCGGAGGGTGAGTACGCCTCTTAGGTCTCCTTGGAGAACCTAAGCCGTTGTCAGTCAAAGGGAAAGGAAGGGTGGCTAGGGACTGCAAGGCGTGGCTCAAGTGAAGACTGCTGTGCCCCAGAAACAACTCGAGGTCCTCTCGCAACCCCGAACCTATTTGCCAGGACCACTAGGCTTCGACACCGCCCCGCCCACTCCTCCCAGCGCCCTGCCCCAACCCCTCCTGCCTCCACCTCTGAGAGCCTCAAGGGGTCTGACCTGAGGTAGCCCTGATCTGGCTTCAAAAGCACTTGGCTCCCGGAAGTCGACTAAGCATGCGCAGCCCCGCCCCCCAGGGCCTGCTCTAACCAATGGAGATTACACCCTCCCCCTAGGCTCGCCCCTGCTGCAGCATGTGACTAACGGTTTTAACGGTTCTAACGGTTTTAACTGTGAGAATATTGCCGGGTCTGCTGGCCAGCTTCGCGCGCTCACACACCTCCAGCCCACATATACCTCCTGAGAGGTGCCTTCACACCCTGTCACCATCCCCGGCCATTGCAGATCCGCTCGGGAGACGTCAGACACATACCCTGCTGAATGCAGGGTGGACTGGGTGTCCGGGGCCAGGGCATGGCTGAGGTCTGGTGGTTGCCTTCAAAGCCATGAAACAGGATGGGTAACCAATGAAGGCGTGTGGATGGGAGCATTGTACTGAGGCCCAGGACACTCAACGGCTAGAGGCCTAGATGAGGAAAAAGCAGTGAAGGAGCCAGAGGAGGTGTGGTCGGGGACCGGGGAGGGCGAGGTGCCCCGGCAGCTGCCTCTACCATCGAAGAGGAGGAGGGCGCCTGCTGGATCCGACGCTGCCGATGGGACAAAGGAAAGGCAGAGAGAAAATGATCCGTGACTCTGACAGGAACCATTTCAGTTCATACATTGTATTCATAAACAACATGGAGCATTGCTCCGCATGTCTGTATCATTTTAGAAATGGTATACTTTGTGCATCTTTCTACAGCCTGACCTTTCGACTCACCAATTTTAAGATTTTTGTCTGTGGATTCAAGTGTCCGTAGCCAGTTCTTCACTGTGTCGCTTGTTGGCCAGTTTCCCCACAGTCCTGCTGGTAAACATTCAGGCTGCCCAGAGTTTCCCCCCTATAGCGATGCTACAGCGAACGTTCTTGTACCTGTGACTGTGAAGGGACCTCCAGGGTAATGATACTGTACCAGGGTGGACTTTCTGGCTAGCAGGGCTTGTGCCAGTGACACCAGCAGGTTCTGAGCATTTCCCGTGGTTGAATTTTTCATCGGTGCATTTTTAGTGGCTGACTGACAGCTGCTTTTGGTTAGGAAAAGGGATGAACAGTTCACATCCCAGTGCTTGTTTAACCAAAGAGAGAAATAGAATTATTTGCCCAAGGATAGCTTGGAATGGAACCACAGTGTACATATTTTCATGTTCCTTCTTTTGTTCCTTTGTGAGGCTCTCCTTCCCGCAGGCCCCTGTCACATTCGCCTGCCTGATTAGTGCTCCCAGTCACCACAGAATCCTGAGAAGTGGACAGACAGAGCCTTATTCTGAAGCACCAATTTTATCCTAAGAGGCACCAACTCCTTTAACATTTCTTCTGGCTCCAAGGAGTGCTTTCTAAATTTATATCCCTGGCATTTTGGTTGGGCAGTTTTAAAAATGCAGGACTTGCCTCTAAATGTTCTTCAGTATTTCATTGACTGGGAATTCATCAGACGACTCAATGGAGCCTTCTGTGTTTCTATATATAAGGACTCTCTCAGGCTGTTAATGCGGAGGGGCGGAGTTCTCTCTGGAGGGAAGTGAAAACGGAGCAGGAAGCCCAAAGGGGTTAACAGGCTAGGCACTGCCTCAACCCTCAGCAGCATTGTGCAGTCACAACTTCCCTTTGTCACTAAGCAACAAGAAGTTGACCTGCTGAGCTTCTCACACAGCTTCAGAAGGACAAGAGGAAAGTTTTATCTTCTCTGGTCCTTTCCCCCAGAAAGATGCAGAGTGCTTTAGTAGGCTCCTGGGTAAGAGCGTATTTTATAGTTAATCCTGGTCCCTGGCCCTGGGGTAGTACCTGAAATTTGAATGCATCTTAAAAGTAAAGTGAGAAGGATTTCATCCAGCATCCAGGCTAGTGGAGAACTCTGAACTACTGACTACCCCTCTGCCATCCTGGGATCACTCCTGGAAACTGCTTAGTCTTCCCAACACCATGCCCCCTTCCAGAGGTCCTGTTCTCATGCTAACCAGCTAACTTAAATACTATTGAACTAAACTGAACAGAAAGCAAGGTGTTTGGCAGACAGTAGAAGGATGGTCAGTAAAGTTGGATGACTCAGGACCTCAGTGGGATGAAAAAATGACGGGTTTCTCGGTCATGTGTAAAGATCCTGCTGTGATCAGAGACCGGCTGGGGACAGGATCTTTCTGCTCAGGGCTGTGATCATGGAGGACCAGACATACTTCCCTCTCCAGGGAGCACTCAAGACAAAGAGGATGGGCCACAGGAGTTCCTCATGGTGTCTGCCTAATGACATCAGCACAGGATAGCTCCTTCTTAGACCCCCGATGGTCGTTTCTGTCAGCTGCCAGTCCCTAGCTCTGAAGTTCTCTCCAGAAGGTATCCATTGTTGAAGTCCTTCCTTCAGGAAGTTCATCCCTTTGGGGCTCCAGTTTCAGAGGGTGCCCTTCTTTCCCCGGGATAGCAGAGTCTGTGTCAAACAGGTGTTCATCCATGACTTTGCAATGGATGCGGAAGATGGATCTCTTCAATCCTTGTTCTCCAGGGACCTTTGACCTATTAACATTTGGGGGAGGACAGTGAAGGGAACTTTCTCTCAGATCTCCCAGGGAAGGACCATGCCACTAGACAGTGGCCCTGCTCTCAAAACTCCGCTCAGTGCTATGAGTCACCCTACTCAGAAGCCATCTGGTCCCCTCCCTTGCTCAGAAGATAATCCATAGTCCTAACCCAGTGTAGGCCCTGTTCCTCCCTAACCTCACCTCACTTCTCTCCAGCTTGTTTACAATCCTTTAGTCATAAGACCTCTTCTTTTGTTCTTCCAAGGGCTCTTTCTCTTTCTCTCTCTCTGCCTTCTGAAACTTTGCACTTAGAGTTCCCAGCACATAGAAGTCTCTTTTACTCCTCCTCACATAGCTGACTCCTTTTCATGTTCAGGTTCCTTCCCCCATTGTCAGGAGGAGCTGTCCTTGTTCCCCCTCACTCTTGATGTAGTCATTGGGCTACTTCTTTCCTGACCCTATTCACTGTGCTTGACTCCCCCACAGAAGGAAGGTTCACAGGGGCCAGGACCTTCCTGTCTTTTCGCTGCTGTCTTCCCAGTCCATATTAGGCTCTTAAGAGAGAGGAGGGGAAAAAAGGAAGGAAGGAAGGAAGGAAGGAAGGAAGGAAGGAAGGAAGGAAGGAAGGAAGGAAGGAAGGAAGGAAGGAAGGAACTCCATCCCCACACACACATAGCCCTCCCAGGTGGGCCAGCACAGCTGGCCAACTGTTCTAATGATGAATGGGAGGACAAGTCTCTGCAGGGCCCTCTCCAGGGGACTCCCCTCCACCTCAGATTCTTTCTATTCCTACAGAAACTCCCAGGAGACGCTTCTAGCCTCTGAGATCTAGTCGTCGAGGTCTAAGACTTGGGATTGGGGTTTGGGTAGGATTCAACGCTCATGCCTGTCTTGTTATAGCACAACAGTGGCTTCTATGGGCACTACAGAGGGCAGTTCAAGAGTGAAAGTGCTCGAGAGTACCGCCTTGCAGCCAAGCCCCAGCCTCCAGCAGTGTTCCTGCAGCGAAGCCAGGTACAAGGCAGCCCCAGGAGCAGCTGGGTGGCTAGGCCGTTTTCTGCTTCTCTCAAGCCCCGAGAGCATCATCCTCAGCCCTTCCACACACAGCTGGACTGATGCCTGGAGCCAGCCTAGCCCCAGGACATGCATGAGGCCTGGCCCTTCTTCCCTGAATTGTCAGGTCTTTCTCCTACAGGCAGGGCGAAGAGGAACCAATACCAGTCTTGCTCAATGCTCCTTCTAGAAGGAGGAAGGGTCAGGGCCCAGGTGGGGTGAGCAGCCATGGGGAGACAGCCTCTAGAACCCAGGAAGTAAGCCTTGAGTTTTGCCGAAAACTGCCCTTATGCTCAGATTACTCGGTGCTGTGAAAGCCCATCAGCTAGCCCCAAGTGAGCCTCATAGTCCAGGGAGTGCTCCGGAGTGAGCGGGGAGGAGGCTCATCTGGTCAAGGAAGCAGTACGGAAACTGGCTGGTGCCCACACGCATGCCTAGCCCAGGGCACTGGGAAGGGTGATGGCAGAAAAGGCCTAACGTGCAGGGAAAGGCTTCCCAAGAACAGGGGACGGATGCAGGTCCCAGGCCCTTCACTGCTTCCAGGCCTGGAGACAAGGAGGGGACTCTGTGCATCAGTCAGGGCCCCAACAGGAAAAAGCCCACTCAAAACAGGAGAACTCCAAAGGGTGGACATGCAAAGAGGAGGTGTGGGCGCCGCAGGAGAAGGTAGCCTCACAGGCTGCTGACAACAGGACAGGGGGAAGGCGTGGCTTCTAGAACCCAGGAGACAGTGGTGTGAGGAGGGCCACCCTGTCAGGGGCGGTGATCTTGGGTGGAGAGACACTGCCAGGTGGGGGCTGGCCTGGGAGAGAGCCAGGAAAAGAAACACTGCCCCCTGAGCCAGGGCCACTGCCCCCGTGAGAGCGATGGCCTAAGTTCTGCAGGGACAGAGGCAACCCGGGGACTTCCTGCTGGGTGGTGGTAGTAGCCCTCAGTGGCAGCTCTCATCTCCAAACCAGAACATCCTCTCCGTCTGTGCCCCAGGGACAGAGGAGGGGACATGTTTTGGTTGAAGTGAGCACTTGCTATATAAAGCATTTACAAGCACTATCAGCAGTCCCAAAGAGCACTATCTGTGTGTGCTGGGCTCCCGTTGTGTGAGTGCCAAGTCTCACAGCTCCTCCTAGGTCTGACGCCATTTTAATTAGCAGGGTTGCTCAGGGGAGGTGCGCATTTTATTTTCTTATTAGCTGAGAGATACCAGGTCTCCACCGGCTGACTGCAGCTATAGTTGTTAAAAACCTTTCCGGGTTGTGGCATCTGCTTTACTTTCTTTTCAGTTTGGCATGTAGAGGTTTTATCAATGTCATTCAGATACAAAAAAAAAAATTTTTTTCCTCTAAACCAGATTTATTTATTTCTAGCCTTCACCTGCTTGACTCTTGGGAAGTGTAATCCTAGTCCTGCTTGTCCTTATGGTCACACAAGAGGACCATGGTTGTGGGCAGGTCCTTCACTGGTGGTGCCATGATTGCTGTGTCCTTGCCCCTGCCACAGCCATGCCTCAGTCAGCCAGAGGTTCTTCCCTCAGCACCCGGTGACTGCAGGCTGCCAGCCTCCACGGGGGCCTTTAGCCCCCCATGTGCACACACAGCTCCCTCCCAGAAAACCTACTGTTCCTCCAAGGCCTCTTCAGCTGGAACCCCCACCTGAGCCCCACCTGGTCAGAGACCATGGATTCTACCACCTTACGGGAAGAGGAGCCCTGGATGGTTTAGAAACAAAGATGTAGGTGAAATTCTCCTGAGAATTTCAGGACACTCAGAACTGCCTGGGTGGAGGAGAAATGATTGCCCTTCTTACCAGGCCCCCAGAGCTGGGAGGACAACCCCAGTCAGTGGGAATCAATGGAGCTTGCTGCTGCTGCAGGACAGCAAGTTTCCAGAGTCAGAGCTGGAGGCCACCACGAAGGTATCCATGTCCTCGTGCTGAGTACAATTCTATAGCTGAGCATAGAGGTGGGGGAGAATTTGGGGGTCAACTGGAACTTGCCCCAGACCCCCAGGTTTTTTTTAACATACATATATTTTTCTCACCCGAGGACCTATTATTGATTTGAGAGAGAGAGGAAGGGGGTGGGGGAGAGAGAGAGACATCAATGTGAGAGAGAAACATCGATCAGTTGCCTGCTGTACATACTGATAAAGCCCAATTTATCAAATTTTTTAATGGGACTTTTGTTTTTTTATGGATCAAGTCTAAGAACTCTGTCTAGCTTTAGATTCTGAATATTTTCTCCTTTTTTCCTAAAAGGGCCCCAAGTTTTGTTTTTGTTTTTAATTCTCACCTGAGAATATATTTATTGATTTGAGAGAGAGAAAGAGAAACGTCGATGTGAGAGAGGAACATCTACCAGCAGCTTCCCATATGTACCCCGAATGGAGACCGAGCCCACAACCTAGATATGCGTCCTGATTCAGGATCAGACCCACAACCTTTCTGGTATATGGGACAGAGCTCCAACCAACTGAACCACCCAGCCAGGACCCCCTGGGTTTTTAATCTCTGTGGTGCCAGCTTGTTTTATGAGGAATGAAAGGTAAAGTTCCTTCACTGATCTTTCATTCCATTTGAAGACCTTCACTGGCTAAAGCAGGAGGTCCCAATAGGGGAGCTTGTTAAAGACACATAGCACAGGCTCCACCCTGAAGATTCTGGTTCAGAGATCTGGGATGAAGCTAGCTAGCCCCTGCCTTTTACTTAGGAACCTCTGTCAGCCATTGCTCATTCCCCAACCCAGCCAAGACAGAACGGACCAGATCAGGCACTTGATTTGGCCAGGCGCTGTTCACAGAGATGGAGAGACAGATGTGAGCACGGCAGACGATAATGTCAGACAGCAAGCGACATCATAATATATAGTCATAGAGTATGTTAGAAGGTGTAAGTGCAGAGTTGGGGTGATGAGGCTGCTGGGGCAGTGTTCAAGGAAGGCCTCCCAAGAGGGAAGTGAGAAGGAGTCACACAGCCAGGCGGGAGAAAAATCTCCGGCAGAGAGAACGGGTGCAAAGGCCGGAGGTGAGAGTGGCTGGTGTGCTCGAGGAGCAGCGAGGATGCCGGTATGGCTGGAGGTGACGAAGGGATCAATACGGTGTGGGTCTCATGGACCGCGATGATGACTTTGGCTTTCACAAACATAAGGAACTGCTGTGGATCTTTGGCAAACAAGGGATGTGAACTGATTCACGTATTAAAATAATTATCCTGCCTGATAAGAGGACAGTAGACTTGGAGGAGCAAACTTAGAAGCAGGGACACCGGGTGGGAAGCTCTTGCAATAATTCAGGCAAGAGAGGAAGGTAGGTAGCTTGGACCAGCAAAGGCTGTGGCCATGCTGAGGAGCGGCCCAGTGCTGGGTTTGTATTGAAGGAAGTACTAACAGGATTTCCTGGCACATTGGATGTGAGACATGAAAGAAAAAAAAATCAGGGGGTCCCCAAGGTGTTTGGTTGGATCTAGCTGTCATGACATGAGCTGGGCGAGGCTGTAGGTGGAGTGGGTTTGGAGAACGATCCAGAGCTCAGTCATGTGCTTGAGATGCCCATTAAGACATTTGCAGTTGGCTACTGAGCCTGGAGTTCAGGAGAGAGCTTGAGCTAGAGGGGAAGCTTTCAGTTCCAGGTGGTACTTAGGGTCAAGAGCTTGGGCTGCTGCTGAGGGAGTAGGTGTGGACAGAGGGAAGGAGGGAATTGAAACCTAGTCCTGGCTGGGGGATGTAAAGATAAGAGCCCACGTAAACCTTGAACCACTACTCTTCTGATGGCAGGATATCTTTTTTTTTTTAACTTTTTTTTAAATCATCACCCGAGGATATATGTTCATTGATAGAGAGGAAGGGGGAGACAGAGGGAGAAACATCGGTTGCTTCCCATACGTGCCCTAACCAGGGATTGAACCTGCAACCTAGGTATGTGCCCTGACCGGGGATCAAACCTACAAACTTTTGGCGTGTAGGATGATGTTCCAACCAGCTGAGCCACATGGACAGGGTGATGGCAGGATATTTTGAAAGATGCCTCAGCCCCTTCCTCAATCAGCAGCCCCAGAGTCTGGTACTTTGGAGGTAAGTGCCAAGATGAGATGTCCCAGAAGTGAGATGTTGCTCTAGTTTGTATCTGCCCTGTCAGGGTGCTGGCAGTTTAGCAAATGAGGAGCAGTGGCTCCCAGCATCTTCCTTCCATGATGGACCCTGAGATAAGCACTGTTTTCCCCCATGACCTCCTTTCTCACTCTCTTTCAAGGAGCCAGCACAGCAACACTTCTTCTCCAAGCATGACAACCGCACTTCCTTTGACAAAGTGAGTGCTGGAAAGAGGAAGGAGCGTGGGTAGGCCCCCAGCCTAGGCTGAAGTTGGGGTGGGCGTGGGTGGGGAAGAGGTGGGAATAAGACAGTGCAGGCAGGGAGGTCTCCTGATATAGACAGAGGAGTGTCTGTTTTCCTGACAACCTCTCTCCTCTGGGAAACAATCCATTCCCCAACCAGAGGTACCTCTGCTTTGGTTTCCTCTGCAGCTTGCCTACAATGTGCAAATATCCCAGGGTCCCCTGACTTTCTAGGGCCCACCCTAGAATGGAGGGAGGCCAAAAAGGCTGGGGTACAGGCCAGGGAGGCGAGGCACAAGCTGGGCATCACCAGGCAGGCTTGGGTGTAGGGGGGACTCAGGCAATGCTTGCAGCCGGGAATGTGGGCCAAGGGCCCATATCGTTGAGAAGGGCCCCTGCTGCCTGCTGCAGGGGATCGGAAGGCGGAAGAACCTGGAGCGTCTGTGGCAGAAACACACCTTCCTGTGCTGGGCACCCTGTGAGCTGGAGTTCCATCAGCAGCGGCCCCTTGAGTCCTCCTACCAGGCCAACTTCCGGTCAGGCCCAGGACCCGGTGGCCTCCCTCAGCGCCTCGTCCACTTTGTGCAGATCCAGCCTCACTATGCCAGCACCACCTACCAGGAGAACTTCTGCCAGCCATCCCCGGGTGACCATTACGGCAGCAACAGCGTGAGACCCCAGGCCGCTGTCACCAACGCACTGCCTAAACTCCCAGAGATCCCAAAACCCAAGCTGCTGCAGCATTACCTTCATGCTGGGGTCTCCGAGTGCCTCAACTGGTCCAGAGCATTAAACAAGAATGGCTGACACTGCGGCCTGTCTGTGCTTGCAGCCCCAGAGGGCCCGGAGGCTGAGCGCAGTGAGGCACTGCCAGGCCCTATGCCAGGCTCCTACGGTGCCTGTGGCCATGGTGCCTGTGAGCTGGGCAGGGGAGGTGTGGCCCTGGGAGCCCTGCTACCCAGTGAGAAGGGGTGTGGCCTGCAGGAGGCTGAGGGTCCAGAAGGGTTACCATGGCCAAGCAGATGGGTTCTGGGACCCCAAGCCCATTCTTGCAACAAGCCCCGCTGCGAGCACCTTGCACTCAGCACGACCGCACGGAGAGCAGTCAGCGGCCCCTGCCAGTGGGCCGCCAAGTCTGCAAGAGGAGGCAAGGGCTAGCGGCTCTGCTCTCTCCGGGAGGCTACTGCTTCCAGGGCTCTGGTGCGGGGCTGCGCAGTCCTGCCTAAGAGACACCTTCCCCACAGCTGGGACAGAGGGAGACTGCCTGGGCCACAGGCCCCATCAGACCCTTCCCTATGGAGGAGGGCAGAGGCTTTGCGGAGGTGCTGTGTAACACACACTTAGAGAACATCCTGACCCCGTGGTGTTTTGCTGTCATTTTCTGATCTCTTCTCTGGTTGTCCTGTGAATGCCCTCTATCATCCAGGACAATGTGGGACAGCGGTCATCCTATGTCACCAAAAGAGAGACTGAGGCTCAAGAGGATCTGAGACCCCAGACACTTTGGGGGCAGAGGCCAGATCTAAAAGGCTCTTCTGGACCTTTATCCTTTGGAGAACTGAGGCCCCCGAAGGAGGGCCAGGGGCTGCAGGGGTGACACAGGAGTCCACACCAGGGGCCGTACCCCAGATTTTAGCAGCATTTTTACTTCCACGTCTGAACTTCCTGGGTCCTCACAACAGCCCTGTGAGGTAGGTAGGGCAGGAAGGTTTTCGAGATCCCCATTTACAGGTGAGGATGCTGAGGCACAGAGAGGTGAAATGACTGGCCCAAGGTCACACAGGCAGCAGTGTAAAGGGCCAAAGCCAACACTTCTTTGGCCCTATGGAGGAAGCCCCACCCACTCTTCCATTCCCTCTGTGTCACCTGCCCTCTCCAAACTCTCCTGGCTTTACAGGGGCCTTCAAAACATGCTGGCAGCTAGGATTTTTCAGGAACAGTCATTGGGGCGGGCCTGGCCAACTCTAGGTCGGTAGGCACTGACCCTGCAGGGTATGAGGCCAGCTCTCCCCTCCCCCCACTTCTCCTTTGGACAGAGGGCCCAGTAGGTTCCAGAGCAAGGGTGGAGCTAGGCGTGGTCCATGAATGAACGAGGGTAAGGAGGTGTACGCGTCTGTGTATCCTACGCTAAAGGTGAAGCCCCCCACCCGCCCAAGTCCCCGAGGCAGTGACTCAGGTGCCCGTGCCTGTGCATCCCTTCTCCCCCAGAGCCACAGTGAGCTTCCTCGGGGGCACAAGAGCCACAGACATCTGCCTGTGGTACCGAGCCGCTTCAGTGGACAAAGTCCCATCGGGCACTCAGACCCCATCACGCAGACACAGAGCCTCCACAGCTTGGCTGGGACCCTGTGCCACGCCCCCGATGACAAACAGCCGGGGCCCAGCCTGCAGACTAGAACAGGAGCAACGGGCTGTGGGCATGGCAGACAGTGCCTCCCAGCGCCGCCGTGCCAGGCTGAAGCCCTCCACAGAGCCCAGAGGGCATGGCTGGTTTCCTGCAGGAAGGAGACAGAGGTTGTAAAGCGCACAGGCTGCAGGGGCACCAGCTCTTTTGCTCCCTGGGCCCAGAGTGGGGCCAGCAGGTGTCACCCCAGGGCGGGCCGTCGGTGCCTTGCTACTCATAGCCCCAGTCATCATTCATTCATGTATCATTCCTATTTCTGTTTGTCCATTCATTCAGTGATGATTTGCCCTATTTCTGTCTCCTAGGGCCCTGCCGGTACAAAACCCTGCGTCGGGTGCTGAGGACACCCCCGGATCTGGCCCAGGCAGATCACGCCCTGCTAGTTTCACAGAGTGAGGAAGGGAAGCTCACAAAGCCCAAGCCCCAGGGCGCCTGGAGAAGGGCCGGACATGGCGCTCATGCTGGAGGCCACTCCTTCCTGCCTTGGGCTCCCCTCCCACCCCTAGCCCTGCAGACTCACCAAGGCCCCCGATAGCCACGATGTGGCCTCCAAGGGAGCCAACCACAAAGTCAGCCCTCTTATCCCTCATGCGCAGGCCACGGGGCAGCTTGGTCCAGGACCCTGCAGGAGAGGGAAGATCAGACCTGTGTCCCTCCGTCCCACAGAGAACGGGAGGACAGCCCCGGACAGCCATGCTCACCATGCTCCAGGTCGAACATCTCCACAGTGTTGACAAAGTGTGGGCGAGAGTAGAAGTTGTGGGGCCCCGGCTGCTGCAGGCCACCCAAGCTGAAGAAGCTGCCTTCGGCCATGGCACAGCCAGCAAAGGCCCGGCGGCTGGGCAAGCTGGGGTGCCGGGTCCAGGTACGAGCCTCCAGATCAAAGGCCTCAAAAGCGGTCACTGGGAGCTTGCCCTGGCGGCCCCCTGCCAATGGAATTGGGGCACCTGGGAGGAAGCCTGGGGCACTCGGCAGGCTCCTCCTCCACCAGGGTGCTGACCTTCACCACCGCCCACGCTAGCCACCCGTGCCCAGCTGTGTGCGCGCCACCAGGACATGGATCACCCACCCCTCTGGGTCGCAGGCACTGGGGTTTTTTTTCCAGTTCCCACAGGGCCACGGAAGGTCTGAGCCTCCAAGCAAACCTGGCTCTCCCCCGAAAAAGCTCCTCTTGTCCTGCCATCCCGAACTAAGCCTGATTCTAGTTGTCTCACAGGGGTAGCTGCTTCTGGACTTCAAATCCCTTTCCCACGTTCCCCAGGCCCTTACCCAAGACATAGATCTTGTTCCCATGCAGGAAAGTTGAGGCCCCGTAGCAAGGAGTGGGCATAGAAGGTAACGAAAGCCAGCAGTCCCGGCGGGGCTCGTACACCCGAACCTGGGCCTGGGGGGCCGTGTCAGAGCCCATTCCCCCCAGAGCGTACACCATGCCATCTGCATAGAAAAGAGTAGTTCAGACAGTACCCCAGCCTCTCCAGGGCACCCCACCCTGACAGCTGCCATTGCCAGGTCTGGGGGTAACAGGGGACCCAGCTTGTTTGTGGTACACCCTCCACCCCCAGCAGCAGAAACCCTCCTGCCTGCCTGGAGTGGGGGCTGGGAGAGCTAGGATTCTTCCTCTGACCAGGACCCCTCTAAGGGAAGAGCAGGAGGCAGCAGATCTAATTATAATCTGTCTCCGTCTCCCTGGAGACGCTATGGCAACCAAGCCTGGCATCCAAGCAGAGCCAGACCTGGTCAGACCTGGAGGCCACTAGATGGAGGCTCCCCTGGGGAAAGGAGGTTGGAGGATGGGTTAAGCCAGGGGTGGAGGACATACAGGGACCTATTCAGCATGGACTTCAGACTAGGGAGGGGCTCTGGGGACCGGCTGGGTGGCTGGGAGAGGGGCTTGGGCCTGCAAAATGGGGGTGTTGGCCACACAAGCCTCCTGCCCAGGAGCCCTGCCAGCACCTCCTCAGCCGCCTTTTCACTAGCGTAGGTGCTTGCCCTGTTATGCCCTCAGGGTCAGCTGGGGGCATGTCGGGGGGCCTTAAGGAGATAGGCCAGCCAGCTGGGAGCTTGCATGGCAACTGTCCCCAAGCCAGGTTGACTTTTGTCCACTTCAGGCTTCCTTACGTGTGTGTTTGGCGGGGGACAATCTAAGCACCTGTTGGGCTCTAAGCCAAGGTCCTGTTCCCCAACCATCCCTCAGACTATTTATAACAACTTTGAGAGTCACTGGGCCACACCTCCTTGCCTCTTAGAGAAGAGGAATGGATGGGCCAGGGAACTTCATGCGAGGGGACAGCCTGGGTTCTGCCTCCCACCTCACAGCTGGACAAGGCAGAGAAGGCTTCTGGTGGCCCAGCTGAGAGCTAGAGAGGGGAGGGTGCAGGAGGCAAAGCCATGTCCGAGGCACCCAGGCAAAATTTACAGCTCTTGTCCAATCTCTGAGGGTAAGAAACCAAATGAGAAAAGAGCGAAGGGTGTTGGGGCACCACCACTCACCTCTCTCCACAGTCGCAATGCCCATGGCTGCCTGAGGGAGGGTGGCCCGACGTTCCCAGCGGCCCTCGTCAGCCAGGAAGGCCTCCACGGCAGCTACCGGGCTCTGGCCCTCATCCACACCTCCCACCACTAGCACCTGCTTGCCCAGCACCACGGCAGCCGCGCCAGCCCGGGCAGTGGGCAGGGGCGCCAGTGCCAGCCAGGTGTGCGAGGCCATGTCCAGTGTCTCGGCAGTATCCAGGGGCAGCCCAGCCCGGCCACAGCCCCCCAACACCAGCAGGTGTCCATCCTGGTAGGCCACTGTGCCATACACCCGGCAGGTGGGCATGGGTGGGAACACCTGCCAAGCAAAGGCCCGGCTCCCTCCTGTGGCCATGGCGTTCACCTCCAGGGGCAGGCCATGCTATCTGCTCAGGCTGCAGGCCTCCCTGACGAAAGCCTCATCCTGACTCTACCAGGGGTACAGGGCGTGTCTGACCAGTCCAGGGAACTGCCTTGGCCTGGAGGAGAGAAGGGAACAAAGGTCAGCGCCACTGCCCACCCCTCAGGTACAGAAGAGCAGCCTGTAGCTGAGGGCAGCGCTGGCTCCAGATCCCTGGTGGGAAAGGCAGGAGGACTCGCCCCGCTGGCCAGCCCACTGCTGTGGAGGCCCCCCTGGAGCTCCCCTCTTCCCACGGATTCTCCTCCCATGCCCTGCCTTCACCTAAGGGCTGCCTGGTCATATCTAGGTCCAGACAGGAGGTAAGGCAACTAGGACAGGGCTCCCCACCCTAGTCTCCTCTCCTTCCCCCAACAATTCCCACCCTGGTGCTCTGTGTGAGTGAAGCCCTACGCACCCTTCCCGAACCGGCTGCCACGGTGCCCGGGGCAGCCCTCAGCATCTCCCACCCCATGCCAGGGACCAGACTCCCGCATCCTTAAGACCCCTTTGGGAGCCATTGGTTGATCTAGTTCTACCAGCAAAAGGCCAAGATCAGGGCGTCTGGGACTGGGAAGGGAGGGGCTGAATGCCAAGGTCCCTCATTTACCCTCGGATGTCTACCCTCACAGCGGTTTGTCCATGGCAGGTCCACAGAGGCCAGCGTTTGGTGTCCACAGTGGGTGAGGAGGAGGATTTGGGGATCCCATGAGCCCAGGACTGTAGGGTCCCAGGGTCCAGGGAGTTTTCAGCAGGAATGGACAGCTGGACTTCTGGGTCCCCACACAGCAAATCCCCAAGTTCCCCAGCCCATCCTTCCCGGCGGGGACCACATCCCTGGGACCCCTAGGGCGAGGGCCACCCGGCCCCAAACTTCCAGCTCGCAGGAGGGCGGGAGGGGGGGGCGGGTCCAGACGAGTGTGCTTGGGGTTCTACTCCCGGCGCCCCAAACTTCCCCTGAGCGCGGTTCTCGCGGGACTCACCGGCCGGGGCTCCGGCGGCGCCGGGGCGCGGGGTCCGCCGTTCCGGCTCCGCTGGTGCCGGCTCCGGCTGGGGCTGAGGCCGGGCGCCGGCGGGGCTCCGGCTCGGCTCTGGCGCGGGGCGGGGCTGGACGGGGTCCGCCCCTCTCCCCCCTCCCAACTCGGGAAAACCTCCCCCTCCCCCGCCCCCCACCAACCCCCGCTTTAACCCTGCACCTGCCATGGCTGGAGCACGGTGCGCCGACCCATGATCACATGCCAACGGGTGAACAGAGAGATGGACACGTGGACACTGGGCCTTCCCAGAATTGAGGGCCCGACCTTGGGCGGGGGGAGAAACGAGACACCAGTGAGCAGCACACACTTGTATGGTGGGGGGCCTATCTGAGCGGGACCCAGCTTGGGAGCATCCGTGGAGCAGGAGGGGGTCGAGCCAGCGCAACCCGGGGGCTTGAGAGGCCGGCACCCGCCCATTGCCACTGAACTTGGAGGAGCCCAACCGTAAGCTTCGAGGCGGCGCCCCCTGGAGGCCACTTGGTGCGTGGCCTGGGCCTCTCGCGGGGGGTTTGGCGTCCCATTTGGCCTGCCCCTGGCACAGACCAGAGCACAGAATAGGTCCTATGGTAGAGATAGAGGCCAGCAGGAGTCGGGGGAGCAGACAGCGCTTCCTCAGTGCTGGCAGGCTTGTCCATGGACCTGAGTTGGAGGGGGGTGGGGATACTGGGGTTGTGGCGGCCAATGTAGCTCTGAGCAAGTATAGGCTTGAAGACTCAGAAGCCAACGGACCTTCCAGGCAGGTCACTCTGGCCTCATTCTGTAGGGCCTCAGGCCTGGGCTATTCTGGGAGCCAAGTCATTTTGTGACTGTCCATCTTCAAGGTCCTGGCCCTGCCCCTAGCCAACACTGGGGTCAAGCAAGAGTAAGCTGGTGTGACAAAGGACTACCCACCTCAGACCCAAACCCTGACCCATCTTCCGAGCATTCAAGAGTATTGGCTAAGTCTGGGAACTAGCAGCCCATTCATACAGGCCAATGGTTGCCTACAAGAGGTCCTGTGGTCATGCGTGCTTGCCACTACCCTGTCCCTCTTTCATGGACAGTGTCTGTCTCATGTTCCCTAGAAGCATAGCTGGAGACAAAGGTACAAGTGCATACAGTTCATGTGGGAGGTGAGGCCAGGAAGCACCAGCAGAGAGGAGTGGCAAGGAGAGGGGGAGCAGTGAATAAAGGGTGTGTCATCAAGTTCCCACTATGGCCAACTGGGACCCAATCCTGCTGGGGACTCTGGGAGCTAGTGTAGGGCACGGGCCTCACATTGTCCACCCCTGGCCCCCAGCAAGGGTTGCCGAGGTCCTCATTCTCAGATCTCCCTCAGTCCTGAGGTGAGATCTCCTTGGGGGCTAATTGCCTGGTCTGTCTGACTTCTGGCCTGACTTGTGGGTAGAGCCTTGTCCCTGACCAGAAAAAAATCTTCAGCCACTTTCAGGGGCCAGCAGTTGGAGTTGGAGAACCTGCATGGAAATGGTGGTGCCAAGGTCATTTACAGATGCTGGCCAGAAGGCTTCCATTCTCCCACTCCACTTTGCCCCTCTAGATACATCCCAGCACCCCCTAAGTGCCTCCAGTCTCTTCTTCCTCCCCTCCAGTCAAACTCTTGAAGCCATCTATTCTCATGGGTTCTGCTACCTTGGTATCTGCCAACTTGTGTCTGCTGCCACAGCTCCCCCAAAATTGCCCTTGCCACAGTCACCATGGAACACCATCTAGCTAACACTTAGAGGGCTTTTGTCTGAATTGAAAGGTTGCTGGCATCTTTAAAGTTTCAACCCTGTGACTTTGGCTTCCTCCTGCTACTGCCCTGCCTCTCTCCGAGTCATTTATAGGCCCTGCTTCATATTAACTCCACAAGAAGTGGCTCCTCAAGGTCTGGCCCTGGTTTTTCTCCTCGGCACACAGACTCCCTCTGGGGGAGTCCCTCACTCACACCTACAGCCCCACCAGGTCCCTTGCTCAGCATATGATGATGAGCCTAGGATCCATCACTCAGTGCTGTAAAAGATGCCAAGTGGAGAGCAAGGGCTAGATTTTGGGATGGCTCTATTTTCTCTCCCAAATTCATCCCTTCTGATACCAGTTACACTTATGGGGTCAACATCTGCCAAAGTCCAGTTCAAGTCAGACTTTGCTCTGATGAATGCTCCCAGAGAGTTCCATCTGGGACATGTTGGGCACCAAGAGGCAGAAGGATCAGCCTCCCCTTGGAGCTAGGTACCTCATGACCCTTACCTCTAACCCTTATCATCCCCACTGGTTCTAATGTCTGGAAGGGACACGGTCTGGGCGTGAACTTACCCCACTCCTGCCCATCCTCCATTTTACACTGACCTCTGGGCTGGACATCACCAGAGATGGGTCCCCTTTCTAGGACACGCCTAGGACCCTGCTATATCTAGGGGTTGGACTCTGCCTCTTTATGGAAGTGGCTTCTGTTTATAGAATCTGGGCCCCACCTGTACACAGAGGGCCAACACTGCTGGCTTTAGAGAAGCTGCCGAAGATAACTGCGTCAGAAGGTGAAGCTGGATTGGTCCTGAGAGTGAACAGCTAATCCTCAACCATTGATGGGGTAGAGACAGGACTTACCCACAGTTGAGGACTGGGAACACTAAGGTGGGACCTCCTGACTATGCACCCGCTGAGACCTTTGCCCTTAGGACCCCACCCTTCCCTTCTCTCTAGCAGGACAAAGGGCTAGAAGCACTCACTCCAAATGAGCAGGAGAGTTTGCATTTTCTGTTGGACACCTTGGCTACAATTCAAGGCCCTGAGGACCCCCCCATTAGTGCTGAAGCCATGCGAAGCTCAGGGGCACCAGGTGAGGCCTACGGTAGGGTATTCCTCTTTAGGGATGTTCAGACCCCTCTCTATAGGCAAGGAGATGTACAGCAGCCTTAAGATCCTGGAATAAGATGGGGAGGGAGGAGGGCTATTAACCAGTCCCCAAATGAAGCATCCAGCACCCTTTGCACACACTCGTATGCTGGGACTCTCAGACTGTACATGCCCAGCTTTGGATTTGTGTAGCACGAGTGTGCACACCAGCCTTTCATGACACTTGCGGTGGGTTCCATTCTCAGGAAGAGCAGAGGGTCTACTGCCCACAGAGAAGTTACCAGTGCTACAAAACGAAGAGGCTCCCCTGCAACACTCCCAGGCATGGAGCACTCCTCTTTTGCTCTCCGGCCAGGCCCCTGGGACAGAGGCAGGCCTTGTGAGTGGCTGCGGGAGATCCAGAGGGTGAAGGATGGCTTGGATTTTGCCGGGAGTCCCTCCCAAATGTTGCAGCAGCACTACTCCCCTCAAACAGGGTGTCAGGCCCATAACCCAGTCCTGGATTGGCTCCAGTGCGGTCCTGCGGGGGACCACGTCCAAGAGCGCCTCTGCTCCTCAGAATCCTGCACAAGCCCGGACGAGTTGAGAACGGCCCTCGCGCCTACTTCCTCCAGGAAGCCCTCCCAGGTACCCACCTATCCTGCCCCCCAACTTTGGGGGAAACGGGGTCTCGGAGGTCAAGGGTCACCAGGGCGGGCCAGGGCCCGGAAGCGGAAGTGTATCGCACTTCCGGTGCGCAGCGGGCGGCCATGTTGGAGCAGCGGAGGCGGCGCAGAGGTGCGTCCTGGGTCCCCGCGGCGGCGCCGGTAGGTTGGGGCCGTGGGCCTAGCCGCGCCGCGGAGGGGCTGTCCGCGAGACGTTAGGGCGGACGGGCCGGGCAGCCGGCTCTCTGCTGGCCAAGCCGAGACCCCCAACCCACTCCCACCCCCACCCCGTGCCCAACGACCCCACCCTGGGGCTGCGCGGCCCGTCGGGCTGGTCCAGACGCCCCGTGCATCTTGCTCGTTCTTGAGACCCGCCCCGCTCCTAACCGCGGCTCGGGCTCCAGGGACTCGGATTTCCAGTCCTGGCTACCCCGCCTGGGGTCCGCTTGGATGAGGCCTCTCCCGTCCCCCATTTATCATCAACTTTCCCTGCCGGCCCCTGGGGCACGTAAGAAGGGAATTGGGGGGCCGGGCTGCAGGCTGTTTCCAGAGCTTATTGGAAAGCCCAGAAGATCCCTCCGAAGGGTTCATACCGACCTGGGCGAAAGAGCACCCAGTTCATCCCTAGTATCTGTGCCTGGTATCTGAACGCTTAGAACAGCTCTACGGTTCAAAGCTCCGGGAACTACACCCCCTGGAAAAAATAAAAATAAAAGAACTAAAGCCACGTGCAAGGATTGTGCTTGGAGAACGGCCTCTGGAGAGGGGAAGTGCCTGAGACACCTGAGGATCCCAGGATGTTTCCAAACAAAGAGCCCCAGGGCACACCCTCTAGGGGATTCTGAAAACTATCTGCTCCATTAGGGTGGTAGGAGGAAGCTGCACAGACAGTGCCTCCAGGCCCCAGGGGCCTGCCAGATCCCAGCTGATCCTTTAATGCTCTCAGTGCAGATGGGGAGGTGCTGCTGGGGCCCTCACTGCTGGGTGGGGCGTTAGATATTAGTCACGCTCAACAGCCTACAGCTTCTTCAGAGAAGGCTGGGACAACTTGGGTGTTTCCAGACAGCTCCGTCTGGGCTCTACCAAGGTTGGCGCCCTCCAAGCCCTAGTTAGAACAGCTCATTTCCACCTTACTGATTGTCCTACTTGGAAGCCTTAGATCCTACGGTTAGATCTTGGGCTCTTGGTCTGAGTGCCTGGCCCCCAAGCTGCCCGATTGTCTAGAGCTATGTCGTCATTACCTGCTACTTAGCATCTTTTTAGTTTCTGTTGAAAGAGAGTCTGGTTGGTCTCCATGACTGTAGAGCTAGGAATTGAACCTCCAAGCGGCCTGTCTGGGAACTCCGAAAGCAGAACTTGTGGTGGGCAGGGAGATTCATCCCTGGGCACCTGAATAGCTGCATCTTTAGGAACAGAGATAGGAATGGATATTGGGTGTAAGTCTTGACCCTTTAGCCAGCATTCAAGGAGCATTTAAGGCTTGCGTTGCCCTGCTTTCACCTATTTTTTCCAACAGATCTTTCAGCCCTGACAACAGACTCCAGTCATATCAAGTGTGTCTTACTTTCTCACTTTGGAGTCTTTGCATATACGTTTCCTCTTTTCCATTCCATCTGATCCTTCCTATTATCACTCAAGTCCCAGCTAGGTGTCGCCTCTCCCAAGAATTCTTTCTTGACTCACTGGCAAGCTAAGCTGGGTTCCAGTGTGCACTCCTAAGAACCTTGATGGTGTCTTTTGCCTTCTGTGCAGGGCTTCAGAGGACAGAGGTATTCACTTGTGTTCTCAGGGTCGAATCTAATACTAGATTTCTGGCCTCAGAAAATACAGAATTTGATTAAAATGGGCTAACCAAGCCCAGATCTTTCCAGGGACGCAGCAGCAGGTTGGATGGCTCTGATTAGCTTGTGGGCATATACCCTGAAGAAGCCGCCTCTGACCCACATAGGTTGTCTTCCCACCCTCCACCCTGCTACCATGGTAGGTCAGAACAGCATTTTGTTTCAAGGAGTAGCTCGCTCTGGCCAGGCCTCTCTGTGTCAGTGGATGTTATGGAGAGTGCAAGCCCTGATTGACCTGTCCACCTGCCCTGACTCCTTTCTCAATGCCATTCTTATTGACTCTTTTCCTCTTGCCTTGGAGGTGCCAAGCGCTGGTTTGCGGCTGCCCAGGCAGATCTGCAGTGCCTAATGCCATGAGCGTGGTGGTGCAGCATGTGGAGGAGAAAGCTGTCCACTCTTGGTCGCGGATCTCCACGGCAGGGAAGAAGGCCCTGGAGGAGGCGCTGCTTGTCTTTAACCCCATGAGCCAGGATCTCAGTGCCACAGAGGCCCAGCTTGTGGCCTTTCTGCAGGGCCTACGGGATGATGGTTTCCAGCCTACCATCCTGCGCAGTGGCGATGTCTACGGCTATAGTTCATGCACAGCCAAACCCCCAAGCCAGACAAAGCTGCAGGCTCGTGCCCCCACCCCAGCCACCACATCACCTCCAGCCAGTGCTCCCCGAACTGCTATGCGGCTGCCTGCAGGCCGGGCCACGCTGCTTCCCATGCCACTGTCTGGCAGGCTGGCCAAAGCATCCACACCAGCCCTTGCCAAGCATGCTACCACCAACCTGCTACTGAGCTCCCTGAAGCAGTCAAGTGCCAGCCGTGCCCGGGGTACGGCAATGGGCTTCCCCGCCCACCTCTATCCAGGTGTCTACCCTGCCATGCGGCTCTCCGTTGTCCTTGAGGCGCTGGTTCCACTCAAGACTCCCATGCCCTGCTTGGGTTCCAAGCACAAGACACAGTCACTGCAGCTCTCTCTTGCGGACTCTTCCCTGAAGCTGCGGAAAGGTCCAGCCAAGGGGCTAGGGAACCCCCAGCCCAAAGTTTCCAGAAAAGCCACAAGCAAGGGTCCTAAGTGTCCGATTCGCAGAGGCCCCAGGGCTGGACCCCGACAAAGCACTGGCCCTCAGAGAAAGACCTGCAAAACCACTGGATCCCTCAGTGGCCCACGAATGAAAGGTGTCTCTGCCCTGAGCATCAAAACAGCCCAGGCCAAGGCAGCTCAAACACTAGCCAAAGTGGCCTGTGCCCAGGCCAAAGTGGCAAAGGCCCAGGCAAAAGCTAAGGCGGCACGTGCCAGGGCCAAGGCCAAGGCAGCACAGATCAAGGCCAAGGCCAAGGCCAAGGCATTGCGGGCCAGGGCTAAGGCCAAGGCAGTGCGGGCCAAGGCCAAGGCCAAGGCCAAGGCAGTGCGGGCCCGGGCCAGGGCCAAGGCCAAGGCAGTGCGGGCCCGGGCCAAGGCCAAGGCAGTGCGGGCCAAGGCCAAGGCCAAGGCAGTGCGGGCCAAGGGGGCTCGGACCCAGCCCAGGGGCAGGGGCAGGCCGAGAGGGTCTGTTCAGGCCAGGACTGCAAGGCAAGGCCAGAAAAGCCGCCCTGAGACTGTGGGGCAGAAGAGGAAAAGGGCTGAGGAGGCTAAAGATCTTCCCCAGAAGAGAACACGGCTTGGGCCCCGATCCCCTAAGGCATGTGTAGGTCCTGGGACAGCAAAGCTACTGAAATTCCAGGCCATCAAGGTGGACAGGTGGTCCTCAGATGATGAGGTGCGGCTGCAGGCTCAACGTATCCTCCGTGTGAACCTATCCCCTGTAATACGGCTCCAGCCGTTGCTGCCATACTCGGTACCCTGATTCCTTCACATAGCAATGTTTCGGGAAACTGAGCCCAACTGTCTGTGTTGTCAGTGGCACAGTGTGCAATGCCCATGGACTCTGGGTGCCTCTCCAGGGCCCTGGCAGCCACCAGCCTCCTTTCAAAGACTGGAGGATGTGGGATTGGGGGTGGGGGTGGGAGGGGGTGTTCTCATGGCGCAATGCACTGTGACTTGTTACTCTTCAAGTTGTATGTTCACTGTTTCATCTATCACGTTTTATACCTTTCCACCTTCCAGTCTCCTTCCCTGCTGTCCATGGTCTTTGTGTCGGGGGGGCAGGGGGGTGGCTAGGGGGCTGCGGAAAGCCAGCTTGAACATAGAGGAAAGGGGCCCTAGGAACAGGGCTGCCAGAGAGAGTGCTGGTAGGTGGGGGCAGGCCATCAGTGTGAGCGATGGGACAGGCCCCTCTGGATGTCTTGCCCTCTGTGGATGTGAAAGAGGCAGCTCCTGCGGCGGGGGCAGAGCCCCTCAGGTGGGACACCCCACCTTGGGGCTGCCCTGGTTTGTTATCCCGATAGGCCCCGTGCAGGAGGACAATAGGTGGCTGTGTGGGAACCTTGCACCCTGCAAGTTTTTAGACCAGGGAAGGGGGTTTTGTGATTCCATTCCCCAGGGGCGATGCAGGCAGCCCGGCCTTGTCTCCCAGCCCGCTTTGCTTTGGCTGGAACCTTGGGCTTTGCCTGGGCTCGTCTGGCCTAAAGTGACTGACATTCCTCTGCCTCTCCTCCCTTGCTCCATCCAAAAGAGAGTGACCAGCCTTGACTTTTCCAGTTAACAAGGCATTGGGGTTGAGTCAGAGGTCAGAGCTCTGGGTGGTTGGGCACAGAGTCTGCCCTCACTGACCAAGGAGTTTTCTCCTTGGGTGGGTGGGATCCCGCGGCAGCTGAGCCAGGAGCATCTGCAGGTTGCATCCACCAACGGTGCTTTCTGCCTGGGTTCCGTGTGCTCTGTCTTCCAAGTCCAGCCTCATGCCTCCCATCAGGGGCCTGTATGTTTCAGACATCATGAGTTCATGCTTTGGAGAGGGGGCTGGGCTTTGAGCCCTGAACGAAACTAGCTCCCTGCCCATCTGCCAGTCTTTTGCTGGCTGCCCAGCCCGAAAGGCAGTGGCTGGAGCTGGCAGGGCGGGGGACACATTCCCCAGAGGCCCCTGGAGACTGTAGCCTTTCAGGGCTGGGAGTGGGAACCTCATTTGAATGAGAATCAGATCTTTTCTGTCTCAGGGTTCATCTGAACCCTGGCCCCACTAGCCCTAGTTGCGGTGGATGGCAGACCTACAGAGGAGCTTTAAGAGTGCTTCTTGGTGCCTCCTCCCCACCTTTCTGCATCTGGTGGCCATTACTAATATCCTTTCCCTGGCTGTGGGCTCCCTTGGTTTTTCTGGCTCTGGGGACCTCCTAGCTCCCAGCTGCATGGTGGTCCCGCAGCACTGCATGCATCTTGCCTCTGACAGCCCTGCTTCCATCTACCATGTGAGAATGGGGAGTGCCCTGTGGGCCACACTCAGCTACTCAAGGGTGGTCCAGCTTGGGGCCCACCCAGCATCCTTTCTCGCAGGCCTGAGTCCAGCTCCCACCGCCCAGGACCCCCAGCTAGGCTAGGCCCCCTCCTTTCAGTTCTGCTGCTGCTGCTGCTCCCGCCACCACCAGTGGGTGAGGAGTTTGGCTGTTTCCTGAGAGCCATCGGAGGGGGAGAAGTCTCCAAGCCTCCTGGTGGGTGGGGTGGGATGTGGTTGGAGGGGCTGCCCCCAGGGACTCGACTCAGACCGTTCCCCTCCCAGTCCAGGCTCTCAGAACAATTGCCCAGGAAGTGCCAGGCACACTTACCCCACCTGGCTGCTTAAATGGCAGCTGCTACCCACCCACTGGCAACCTGCTTGTTGGTCGTGCCCGGAATCTTCGTGCCGCCTCCGCCTGTGGACTCCAGGGCCCTGAGCCCTACTGCATCGGCAGGCACCTGCACGTGAGGAGCAGGGTGAGGCCCTGGGCACAGTGTCTGGGTTTTCCTGGGAGGTTCAGCCCTGTGGGAGTTCAGGTCATTGCTTGGGGCTAGAGGGGAGGTCTGTGCTGTTAAGCTGTGAAGTGGAGGGACCGATTGTGCACCTCCTGCCTAGTCCTTCTCCTTGGGCGCTCCGCTAGGATGCTGAAAATTGCTTCTTTTGTGACTTTCGGGACCGCGGTGGCCATGGCATTGAAAACGTGATCTCCCGGAGTGGACCTGCTGGCAACAAGACCTGGTGGCAAGCTGAGAATGGTGAGGGTGCTGGTGTGCCTTTGTGTGTGGGTCTGGGGTCTGAGGTCAGGACCTGAGCCCTCTGACCAGCCCTTGTGGTTACAGGTGTTGAGAACGTCACCATCCAGCTAGACCTAGAGGGTGCCTTCTACTTTACCCACCTCATCATGACTTTAAAGGTGACCCAGCCTGAAAGCTGGCCATGTGCCCCCTGTCCCAATGGCCACCAGAGATGTTTGCCCCTCATAACCCAAAGACCCCCTCCCGCCCCCAGACATTCCGCCCAGCGGCTCTGAGCCTGGAACGATCAGTGGACCACAGCCACTCCTGGCACGTGTACCGATACTTTGCCCACAACTGCTCACGCCTCTTTCCTGGGATCCCTCCTGCCTCTGGCCATAGAGCCGGTGACCTCGTCTGTGATCTGCGTTTCTCAGACATTGAGCCTTCCACTGAGGGCAAGGTCAGGCCCAGAGGAAGGGGGGTTGGGCCCTGGAATGAAGCCGGAGGCTCAGGCTTGCTGCTGCTTCAGGTAGTTTTCAAAGTTCTGGACCCAGACATCCTGGTGGACAACCCAAACGACCCCAAGATTCAGGGTAATTATTCCCCCAGCCAACTCTATACTCCCTGCAAATCAGAACAGCCAGATACTGTGGGGAGACGAGGGCGAGCCGGGTGTGCGTGCGCCGCAGTGAGGCGGGGCGCTAGGTGAGCAGCTCCATCCCCCAGCGCGGATCCCCAGCTCTCCCGTCGCAGTCCTCTGCTACAGTCCGCTATGGCCCCGCTCCTCCCAGCACCCTTCCCCACCCCTGTGCCCGCTGTGTGGGGACTGGCATTGGTAGGAGCTTCCGTCATCTGCCCCATCACTGAACTCGCTTGGGGGACCCCGTTGTAGTCCCTATCGCTGCTTTCCACGCCAGTCCCCAAAACTTGTCCCCACGTCTGTGTTCCTATTACAATGCCTCATAACTCTCCTTTGTGAGCCTCCGTCACTGCCCCTATCACGGTCCCCCTGTATTGCCCTCCCCCTTGATTCATCATCCTGGCCTTAGTTGGTGCCCCGCATCCCTGCAGCTACCTCTAGGTGGCGCCAGGGTGTCTCAGGGTGACCTTGCATAGCAGAGGTCTTGTGAAGTGAAGGACAGAGTAGACACAACCGTAATCCAACAGGGCAGCCCAGAGCCAGGCCAGGCGAGTACACAGCAGGAGGACAAGCCCCAAATTAGCCTTTTCTCTACACTCTCCACCAACTTGACTGTGGTTATTACCAACCACTCGCCCTGAGCTCCCACACTAGCTGTGACCCGTTCCATTGATCGGGAGAAAGGGGAAACCTGGGAAAGGAAAGAGGATGTAGCCTTGGCCAAGTAACGAAACTTAAGCTGTGGAGCGAGACTTAAGCTGTGGAGCGGCAAGAGGAGCGATGGGCCCATCTCCCTGTCCACGTGCACATTCAGCACTCGCCCCACTCTGTGTCAGTCTTCTGAGCGCTGCTCAGCGGGAAGTAGGTAGATAAGGCCGCTGTCTTCCATTAAAGTGGGAAAGACAGTTGATAAATAAGCAAACTCATACCTTACGTGGTTTGGGCGATGGGTTGGGGAATGGAATCCTTTGCCGCGCTGTGAAAGCACATTTCAAATAATCTAGAGATGCCAGAATGGGGTGCCCAGGAGCAGTGGGATGTGTAAGGCTCAACTCAGGAATGATAACAGGGCGGGGGCAGTGCGGAGATGGGATTGTCACCATTAGGCTGTGGTCATCCTAAAATGGTATTCCCGGAGGAGCAGGGACAGAGAAGTCCCAGAGCAGGGGTGCTGGAGGAGGTGGCTGCAATGACACAGAGAGGGGAGAGACAGCCCTCCTGCCCCCATTCCTTGCCCGCAATCCCAGTCGTAACAGAACGATGAGCAGCGCTCCTGAAGTCTCCCACTCCATCTCTAGAACTCCTGCAGGTGACGAACCTCCGTGTGAACTTCTCCAAACTGCACACACTGGGTGACAGGCCCCTGGGAGGCCTCAAGGGACACCCCTTCTAGTACTATGCCCTCTATGAGCTCGTGGCCAGAGGCAGCTGCCTGTGCCATGGCCACGCCTCTGAGTGCAGGCCCGCCCCTGGGGCGCCCACCCGTGTGCCAGGCATGGTGAGCGCCTTGGTGGGAGCGGCCTCCTGCGGGGGCGGGCAGGCAAGCTGGGGGACTGGGGCAGACTCGCCCTGCCCTCCCTCCTGCCAGGTGCATGGCCTTTGCATCTGCCACCATCACACAGCGGGTACCCACTGTAAGCGCTGCCAGGACCTGCACCAGGACCGCCCGTGGCACCCAGCAGAGCCCAGGGACCCCCATGCCTGCCGGGGTGGGTGCCGCACCCTGCTCGGCCTGGCCATGCTGGCCATGGGGCAGCCCCTCCACATCCACCCTCCTTGTTCTGTCCCAGAGTGTGAATGCCATGGGCATGCCCGCAGCTGTCATTTTGATATGGCCCTGTATCTGGCTTCTGGCAATGTGAGCGGAGGCGTGTGTGATGCAAGTCAGCACAACACGGCTGGGCACTGCTGTGAGCTCTGCCAGCCCTTCTCCCACCAAGACCCCCGGGAAGATCCCCGTTCCCCTCACTCCTGCAAACGTAAGCCTCCAATCCTAGCTGACCCCACGGTCCTTCCGCCCACCCCCCATGGCGACCTCTGACCTAACTCTGTCCTCACTCTGGCTCCTGATCCAGCCTGCGACTGTGACCCTGTGGGTGGCCTGGAAGGGGGATTGTGTGCCGCCCACACAGATGAGACCCACGGCCTCCTGTCTGGGCAGTGTTGCTGCAAAGCCAATGTCTGGGGCCAACGCTGTGACTCCTGCCGGCCGGGTCACTATGGCCTGAGCCTTACGCAGTCAGAGGGCCGCCAGCGTGATGGACCCTAAGAGTGAACCCCACCCCCCGTGTCCTCCTTGCTCTGCCCCCAGTCACTGCGCTAATGACACAGGTACCCACACAGCCCCGCAGCAGACCATTAGCATCCTGAGAGCCCTGCGCCTTAGCCTGCAGGTGCGACCCCCGGGGCCGCGTCCCCGGCACTCATGTCTGCGATCCCTCCAGCGGTGCCTGTCACTGCAAACGCTTTGTCTCTGGACGCGACTGCAGCCGCTGTCTGGTGAGTCTTGACCAACCTTTTGATTTGACCTTGATCTTGGGCACTGAGCCCCTGGAAGCTGACCAGTGTAAGGCTATATTCAGTGTGACTGTAGACTGAGCCTGGCACATGGGGTGGTAGCACTTCCTGACCTGGTCACCAGGGTCAGCACCACCTTGACTAGCTGAACCCATGCAGGCCCTCAGGCAGACACTTTGGAAACAGAAAGAAGAGCAACTCAATGAGTTACAACAGTATTATACAGGGGGTGGAAAGGCGTTTCACAGCAGACGCGTTTGAAGGAAGATTCAGTCCAAGGGACAACTCCACCCCCTTCTTGCCTTTACTTGAACATTACAAATACTTGAACTTTTACTTTAATTCTAGCTGTGTCATCATCGTCGTCTTCTTTAAAGATTTTATTTACTTGTTTTTAGAGAGTGGGGAAGGGAGGGAGAAAGAGGAAGAGAAACATTGATCAGCAGCCTCTCACACGCCCCCAACTGGGGACCTGGCCCGCCGCCCAGGCGTGTGCCCTGACCAGGACTCAAACCTGGTGACCTTTCGGTTGGCAGGCTGACGCTCAGTCCACTGAGCCACACCAGCCAGCACTGTGTCCTCTTCTTTCTTTTTTACCTCCCCTACATGAAGCCGTACAGGAGTGCACTGGGGTCCTCCGCCTCGGCAGCAGGGAGAGGGGTGTTCACGCCTTGTACTCAGCCTCCTTCCTCCTGCACCAGGCAGTTCCATAAATGACCTGCCAGGCCCCGACCCTAACCCTGTCCAGGCCTTCCTGTTCTTCCTCCACCACCTCCTGTCTTTTGCAGCCCGAGTTCTGGGGTTTAAGCAGTGACTCTCTGGGCTGCAGGCCCTGTGACTGTGACTTTGGGGGTGCCTACAGCAACAGGTACAAGGCAGAGGCTGGGCATGGGCTCAAGTGGCAAGAATTGGGTGTTGATTCTGCTCCCTCCCCACCCCCACGCTCACCCAGGTGTTCCGCAGGGGAGGGCCTCTGTCTGTGCCATCCCCACCTCCGTGGCCGCCGCTGCCATGAACTCGTCTGGGCACTTCTGCATTGCCCTCGACCAGGCCACTGCTGACGCTGAGCTTGGCCAGGGCCTCCAGCCAGCCGCCCCTCGGCTGCCTGTGAGTGTCCTGTAGGGGCAGGGGCAAGGGCAGGGGCAGAAGGAAATCAAGACTCAGACTGTGGCTCAGAGGAGGGAGGGGCTATCCAGAGGGAACTAGCTGGAAGAGGAAGCTGGGCAAGATTAGGAAGGTGAGGACGTCTAGGTCGGGGTATCAGCATGGTCAGAGGTTTGGTGTCTTGGACGGAGTCCACATTCCCAGGACAGTGTGGGAGAGGACAGGGCCAGAATGCTGGAGGACACCGATACCAAACTTGCCCCCAGGGAGCCCCCTGGCCTGCCCCCTCCCACTGTACACAAGCTTCAGGGACCTCCCCTTGTTGGCTCCGGCCCTGACTTCGGAGACAGCGCGACCCTCGATGTGCACTTTGCCCTGCCAGGCGAGCCCGCTACGGCCACCAGCCACCCAAAGTGAGGCATCTGAGGAGCAGGGTAAAGTCACCAGTCACAGGGGCCTTAGTAGGGACAGGGCCCGAGCCCTGGGGATATGGGTCTCTGGGGTCCTGGGGGAAGGAACCCTAAGTCCTGAGGGTCTAGGTCCTGGAGTGGCCGGGGCCTTGGGAGTCTGTGTGTCATGCCCAGGCCCCAGAGGAGCCCGTGTCCCTGCGTCTGGGAGCCGGCCCCGCACTGCGGGCGGGCTTAGACTTTGCACCTGTGACCGACGGGGCTGGCCCCTCCCTGCTGGCTCCCACGGCGCCTTGTGCTCTGGAGTATGATATTGTCCTGCGCTATGAGACCCAGGTCAGTGGCATGGGTGCCAGGCAGGTGACTGGTGGTGCTGGATGGTGGGTGAGTGGGGGCAGTTCTATGACTGCTGACCCCTGACCCTAGGCACCTGAAGACTGGCAGGCATTAGTCAGCATCCGGGCCCAATCTCCGCCCAGCAGCACTCGCTGCGCCCACCTGCTGCCCTCAGAGCATCTGTTCCAGGCCACCTTGACCCACGCACACAGGTAGGCAGGACGCTGTGACCCCTTGATACTGAGACCCGTTATGCTCCCGACACATCTGACACAACGACCAGACAAAGTGGAAAATTCACAGTGTGGAATATCATCATATCCTAGGACAATCGAAACAGGGACTTAATTTAAAACAGCAGGATTTAAGAAGCTGTTCTTTTTCCATTGGTCATATGACTGCATGTTGGACCCAATCACTGCAGGGCAGAAATGGGTTATCCCGGGATCACTTGACCAAGACCCCCTTATCCCACCCTTTCTCCTCCCCCTCTCCCTGCAGAGCTCGGTTCTATCCAAACCTTTCTGCTTTGAACTGGGAACACGCTACTCCAAGACCCTGCGCCTGTGGTGGACCAAAGCGGGGCGGAGGCCCGAGGGAGGAGGCCCGAGGGAGGCACCATCTTCCTGGATTCAGTGAGATCCTAGGGGCTCCACCCCGCATCTGGGGGAGACACAAATTACAGCAGACAATATGGGCTGAGGGATGGGCCGCTGTTAGGGGCTTGGAGTTGGGCCTAAAAGAATGAGACAAGTGGGGAGTGTAGGAAGTGGAATCAGGCGGGGAAATCACATTCTGAGGATAGAAGCGGGGAAGAAGCAGGCGCCAGACCGCCCTGGAACTTGTGGACCAGGAGAGGGACGTGACCTTTAGCCTGGGATAGCGGGGAGCCATGAAGGGACGCGGGCAGAGAGGAGAAGGCGGAGAATGGATTGTTAGCAGGCGGCTGCTGCGATGATTCCGGGTGCGAGGGGCCAGTGTGAACCTCTGGAAGAGTTTTCCCGGGAGCTAGACTCTCTCAAGGGCTTGGCCTGGCCCAAGAGGGCCACAGGAGTCCAAGGTGAGGCCAGATGGGCAGCTGGTGGATAGCAGGTGAGGGCAGGGGCTAGGCTGCATCAGGAGGAGGGGCCAGGTGCCATTGCTTCCATAATGGGGGACCTAGAGGCTGCCCCAGCCAGCCAGCCCCGGGCCACCCCTCTACCCACCCCTATCTTCTTCAGATGCTGAGGCCCAGGCTTCCTCAGCTGCCCTGCTTTCCTAGGAGGCCATGCTCAGAGCCCAGACCGCGGCCTCACTTGGAGGACCAGGCTGCATCCTGGGACAGGCCTGGGAGGCCCGGCGGTGGACCAAGCAGCTTCTACGGGGGACAGGCCAGCCTACAGGGACAGCTGTGTGGAAGCCAAAACTGAAGGGGCTGGCTGACAGAGTCCAGATGCTGCATCCACAGCTTCTGAGACTCCGAGTCAAAGCTGGAGGGGTGGGTGGAGATATGGATCACTGTGGGCGGGCTTGCCAAGGCGAGGACGCTCTCCTAGGGGTGACCTGGGTATAGAGCAGTAGAGGAATTGGAGATGTGCATATGGATCCCCTGTCTTGTTTGCAGGAATGCAGGGGGCAGGGCCCTGGGCTGGCCTTTGTCCCTGTACCCTGTGATGCCCCACATTGCTCCGGGCCCCTGCCCACTGCCCAGTGGGCTCTGGTGGTCTCCCGTAATGCCTCCTGTAGCCTGGACAGTGATGGCAGCCTTGGAACAGCATCAGCAGCTGCTACAGAGCTATAGGGGCCATGGATGGGAGCCATGCCGGGGACACAGAGGGTCACAGCCTGGCCATTGGGCCACAGGAGACACATTTCACATCTGACCTGCCCCTTCCAGCTGAAGCAGATCCAGGCCGCAGCAAGCAACGTGGGAATCCAGGCCAGGGAGACACGGAGCCGTGCCGGGGGGCCTGGGGCGCGGCCGCCGCGGCCCCTGTACCAGCAGCGGTGCAGAGGACCCAGCGTTCCCTCCTGGGCGCATGTCCGCATCTACGTCTGTTCCCAGCTGAGGGCGGGGCAGGCGGGCATCCAGGTCACGGCTATGACACTCCCTCCAGGGTGAGGAACACTCAGAAGGGCCGCCCAGGGGTCAGGTGGGGGAATTAGTGTGCTGGTAGGTGTCTAACAACTGTCTGGGGGTCTGGGGGACTACTACAAAGTCCGTTGCTACAGTGCAAGTAATCCCACCGTAGCTGACTGCAGCGACCTACCCTGTAACAACGGATTCACAAAATTCCTGAAAGTGTAGTCATTGTCCCCTGCAAACCTCCGGCATATCAGGTAGTCATGTCAGAGGCAGGATCAGTGAGATGTTAGGGTCAGGGTTCATTGGGTCAGAAGTCAGAGTTCACAGCCAACATCCCTACCCCCACAGAGGAAGGTGCAGATGCTGTGAGCGTGGAGCTGGTGGCATGGCATGGGCTGGCTGTGCCCCTCCCCCAGGGTGGGGCAGCCGGTATGGCCCTCCTGCTGGATCAGATCCAGAATGCCCTCCCTCCACCAGATGCGGGAGGCCGGCAGCTGCCCAAAGCTGAAGGTGTCCTCCATCAGGCGCAGCAGACCAGGTGGAGGGCCAGGAGGCTGGAGGTAGAGGTCAGAGGGTGGGGAGGAAGGAGTGCCTCCTAATCTCCTGTACCTTTCAGGGAGGCTACAGCCAGGGCCCAGGACCGAGCGCTGGAAATTCAGGGGGTGCTGGCGGAGGCAGGAACTCACGCAAGGGCCACAGAGCAAGGGCTGCAGGCAGCAAAACAGATATGTGGAGGTCTGGAGGCCAGCGTACAGGAAGTGATCCCCCAACACACCCCTCAGCTTCCCGCACCTCGTGTCCAATGGGGCTGCTGTGGTCCCATTTTCCCCCTGAGGTCCTTGGCCCACTGTGACACCATGATACTACTAAATACCCTGACCATGTGAACGCTCTACTGAGTTGCTGCCCTGCTGTGACCTCCCTGTGATCGCCTGACCTTTGCCCCAGCTGGCAGGGCGCCTGGCCCAGATGACAATGGCAGTGGAGGTGACCCCGGTCCTGGGGCTGCTGTCCAGTACAGCTGTGGCTCTCAGGACCCATTTGGCGCTGAGTCAGCGGCAGGCCCGAGAGGCAGAAGAGCGTTCAGCACTTGCCGTGGGTTTGGCTGGGGGCCTGGGCAAGGTGAGACGGGAACAGTGAACCCTGGGGCCTCAAAGATGCCCCAGAACAGTGCGAAGTGGGGTCCGAGCTGGGCTTGGGCTATGCCGCGCTGAGGTAGGGTCTCAGCCCTAAAACTCCCTGCTTCCCAGGAATCATGGGCAGCAATGCGTTGGGTCTAGGTGGCGTGGGGGGTGGGGGGGCTCAGGTCCAGTCCTGCTCCAGGAGTTGCAGGTGGCCGGGTTAGGTGTGGCAGAGCTGCAGGAGGGCACAGACAGCCTGATGGCCACGGTGAAGGATGCAGGACAGAGGGTACAGCGGATGCGAGCTGAGGCCCAAGAGCTGCTGAAGCAGGTGCAGAAGAGCTGGAGCCGTCTGGAGGGTGCGTGGTGGCCACGGTGGGTGGGTGTGGTGTGGCATCAAGGTCAGGCGGGAGGGTTGGAGCTGGACCAGGGATGTGTGGGAGGCCCAGGGCTGGGGCCAGGTCCGTTCCATGTTCACCTAGGGGTCAGGGCAGGAGTGAAGGTTGAGAACAGGAGGTCAAATGTAGATTAGGATTAGAGTTTACTTAGGGATGGGTCATGACAGCGATGAGGACCAAAGTCAGAGATTGGGCCAGAGGTCAGAGCCTGGCTCAGGCAACGCATCTCCAGGGTTGGAGCGCCGCCTGGTGCAGGATGAGCAGACCCTGGGCAAGAAGGTGGCCATGCTGTGGGCCCTGGAGAAGCAGGCGGCAGAGCTTCTCCACCTGCCACCTGCTGACAGCTGCCTGTGGGTGCCAAAGTGGGGGACTCTGAGATGGCCTGGGTGACTCAGTGACTCCAGAGTGACCCAGGGATCTCCTGACCTTGAGAGACCACAGGCCCCACTGAGTGTCTGCAAACCCTGAATGACCCTCATGTGACCCTATGATGTCCTCTAGTTGCCCTCTGACCTTAAGAAACCAGAGAGATCATGTAAAATTCCCTGAGACCATCGAGTGCCCCTGATCCTGATAAGATCCTTATCTCTGAGTGGTGTAAAATTCTGAGTCATCTTTAGTATCTCTGAGCCCCTCGTGTTAACTACGGGACCCCCAGAGTGACCGGAGACCCCTAGTCCAGATAACGGGAGAAACTACCAGCGACACTGAAAGTCCGGCAGATTGACGGACCTCCTGCCCAGACTCTCCCGGTGAAGCCTAGTGATTCCCCTGAGAATCCCAGCTTCGTTCCCCGGGCCCGCAGCTCCAGGGACTCTCCACCCAGCCCCTGGGAGCCAGCGTGACCTAGCCCTGCAGACCCGCAGAGCTGTGGTCCCAGCCACAGTCCCAGGAGCCTGGGTGGGGCCAGAGCTGCCGGCAGCGCGCATTCCAGCCGGGACGCCGGCACTCCCGGCAGGCCAGAAGGTCCGGAGCAGATAAAGAGCCGGAAAACCTGGATCTGCTCCCTACTTCTCTGGTTGGTCTGTTGTGGGCCGCCCAGCACCCTTTTCATACTGAGACTGTACTTCTTGTGCCTACTGGCTTCAGCAGCTCGTGGAGACGAAGAGCCCTGGAATCGTGCCTCGGGCAGGGGAGGGCCTTTCTCCGTCTCTCCCCCACCCCCAGCTTTGGTCCCTCCTAAGGGACCAAAAACCCTGGGGCTCTGGGTCTGAACGCCTAGTTGCTGGTGACCCCCACAGCACCCATGACGCTTGGAACAAAGGCTAGGCTGTATGGGCAGTTTGAGGTCTCCAGGATCAGATTCCTAGCTTTTTCTTGTGCCATGGCCCCTACTTGGTGCACCCCCTATAGTTAGGGGCCTAAAGCCCCAAACCTGCTACCTTCCCCTTGCTCAGCAGAGGCCTGGGCATCGGGGTACAATAAAGATTTGCCGCTGAGCCGACCCGGGTCTGGTTTCTAGAACGAAGGTTTTTTTCAGAGCAGGGAGGGGACCTCTGCGCAATGTTGCGTTCCTGCCTGTGATCCACTCCATGCTTTCCTTCCTGCCATGGTTCCCAACTTTGCCCAAAGTCGCCAGACTCAGCTTCAGCCGGACTTGGGGACTAAGTGGGGCCTCAGCCAAGGACCCACGAGAGCAGGGTCTGCATGGGACCTCAAGGGAGGGGGAGGGTGGGCACATCCCCCAGATCTCTCATCCCCGACTCCCCTCCTCTTTAGGATGGAGCGGGCCGCAGGGGATCGAGGGAGGGACCCAGGGGGACAGCCTGGGCCCTGGGAGCTCCGCGTGGGCCTGCTGCTGAGTGGTGAGAGGGTCTGGTGGAGGCCTGGGGGTTATGGGATGTGATGGTGGGTCCTGGGGAAGCTGGCCCTGGGGTTCCCCGCCAGGGAGCACAGTGGGACTGGCTGACCCACTGTTCCCAGTGCTGGCCACCTCCCTGGCCCAGGCCCCAGCCCCGGATGTGCCAGGCTGCACTCAGGGAAGCTGCTACCCCGCCACCGGTGACCTGCTTGTGGGCCGAGCTGACAGACTGACCGCCTCGTCCACCTGTGGCTTGCATGGCCCCCAGCCCTACTGCATCGTCAGCCACCTGCAGGTGCTGCTGGGGGCGGGGTGGGAGCTGAGTCAGTGGGGGCTGGCACTGGCTGAGGCCCTGACCCTGGCGCTGATCCAACTCAGGATGAGAAGAAGTGCTTCCTGTGTGACTCCCGGCGCCCCTTCTCTGCCAGAAACAACCCGAACAGCCATCGCATCCAGAATGTAGTTACCAGCTTCGCACCACAGCGCCGGGCAGCCTGGTGGCAGTCGGAGAATGGTGAGGCCATGGGTGGGACGTGGGGTGAGCAGGCTGCCCACCGACAGCCTCACGTCCCTGACCTCCAACTCCTGCCCCAGGTGTCCCTGTGGTCACCATCCAGCTGGACTTGGAGGCTGAGTTCCATTTCACGCACCTCATTATGACCTTCAAGGTGCCAGCATGTCTGGGAGCCTGCCTGAATCCCCCTGCTGGGCTCCCCCCTGCCCTGAACAGAGTCCCCGCTCCTTAGCCCAGCGCCCCCCTGAGCTCACATGCTGTTCTCTGGATGCGTGGGAGGCTCCTTCACCTCTCACACCTTCCACTGCCTTCCGCCTGCAGGCCCTCGCGCACGCCGCCCAACCCCAGGCTGGGTCAGGCGCTGCCTCCCTGGACCCCCTGACCCCTGAGCCTCCCCCCGGAGGCGGTTACCCTCCCTGAGCGTTGCTTGGCTTCCACTGGTCACCCCACCTGTCTCCGAGCTGCTTGCAGGCAGGCCCCTGCTGGGCAGAGCTCTTGATGGGCCTGGGCTGGACTTAGGTCCTGGCGCCCTCTGATCAGCCATGCCCCCCGCCCAGACGTTTCGCCCTGCTGCCATGCTGGTGGAGCGCTCGGCAGACTTTGGACGCACCTGGCACGTGTACCGATATTTCTCCTATGACTGTGGGGCTGACTTCCCAGGAGTCCCGCTGGCCCCCCCACGGCACTGGGATGACGTGGTCTGTGAGTCGCGCTACTCAGAGATCGAGCCATCCACTGAAGGAGAGGTGAGGCCTGGGACCTGGGCTTGGTGCATGAAGGGGACGTGATGGGCCCGAGGGCAGGGCCCAGCGTCTCTAATGGCGCCATGCCCCTCCAGGTCATCTATCGTGTGCTGGACCCTGCCATCCCTATCGCAGACC